ACACAGTGCTTCAGCTGGTTCACTCAGCACTCACGGACATAACAGTGTCACCTGGTCACACAGTGCTTCAGCTGGTTCTCTCAGCACCCACGGACATAAGTGTCACCTGGTCACACAGTGCTTCAGCTGGTTCACTCAGCACTCACGGACATAACAGTGTCACCTGGTCACACAGTGCTTCAGCTGGTTCACTCAGCACTCACGGACATAACAGTGTCACCTGGTCACACAGTGCTTCAGCTGGTTCACTCAGCACTCACGGACATAACAGTTTTCACCTGGTCACACAGTGCTTCAGCTGGTTCACTCAGCACTCACGGACATAAGTGTCACCTGGTCACACAGTGCTTCAGCTGGTTTTACTCAGCACTCACGGACATAAGTGTCACCTGGTCACACACTGCTTCAGTGGTTCACTCAGCACTCACGGACATAACAGTGTCACCTGGTCACACAGTGCTTCAGCTGGTTCACTCAGCACTCACGGACATAAGTGTCACCTGGTCACACAGTGCTTCAGCTGGTTCACTCAGCACTCACGGACATAAGTGTCACCTGGTCACACAGTGCTTCAGCTGGTTCACTCAGCACTCACGGACATAACAGTGTCACCTGGTCACACAGTGCTTCAGCTGGTTCACTCAACACTCACGGACATAACAGTGTCACCTGGTCACACAGTGCTTCAGCTGGTTCACTCAACACTCACGGACATAACAGTGTCACCTGGTCACACAGTGCTTCAGCTGGTTCACTCAGCACTCACGGACATAAGTGTCACCTGGTCACACAGTGCTTCAGCTGGTTCACTCAACACTCACGGACATAAGTGTCACCTGGTCACACGGTGCTTCAGCTGGTTCACTCAACACTCACGGACATAACAGTGTCACCTGGTCACACAGTGCTTCAGCTGGTTCACTCAACACTCACGGACATAACAGTGTCACCTGGTCACACAGTGCTTCAGCTGGTTCACTCAGCACTCACGGACATAAGTGTCACCTGGTCACACAGTGCTTCAGCTGGTTCACTCAGCACTCACGGACATAACAGTGTCACCTGGTCACACAGTGCTTCAGCTGGTTCACTCAGCACTCACGGACATAACAGTGTCACCTGGTCACACAGTGCTTCAGCTGGTTCACTCAACACTCACGGACATAAGTGTCACCTGGTCACACACTGATTCAGCTGGTTCACTCAGCACTCACGGACATAACAGTGTCACCTGGTCACACAGTGCTTCAGCTGGTTCACTCAACACTCACGGACATAACAGTGTCACCTGGTCACACGGTGCTTCAGCTGGTTCACTCAGCACTCACGGACATAACAGTGTCACCTGGTCACACAGTGCTTCAGCTGGTTCACTCAACACTCACGGACATTTAAAAGTGTCACCTGGTCACACAGTGCTTCAGCTGGTTCACTCAACACTCACGGACATAACAGTGTCACCTGGTCACACAGTGCTTCAGCTGGTTCTCTCAGCACTCACGGGCATAACAGTGTCACCTGGTCACACAGTGCTTCAGCTGGTTTTTCTCAGCACTCACGGACATAAGTTTTCACCTGGTCACACAGTGCTTCAGCTGGTTCTCTCAGCACTCACGGGCATAACAGTGTCACCTGGTCACACAGTGCTTCAGCTGGTTCTCTCAGCACTCACGGACATAAGTGTCACCTGGTCACACAGTGCTTCAGCTGCTTCACTCAGCACTCACGGACATAACAGTGTCACCTGGTCACACAGTGCTTCAGCTGGTTCTCTCAGCACTCACGGACATAAGTGTCACCTGGGCACACAGTGCTTCAGCTGCTTCACTCAGCACTCACGGACATAACAGTGTCACCTGGTCACACAGTGCTTCAGCTGGTTCACTCAGCACTCACGGACATAAGTGTCACCTGGTCACACAGTGCTTCAGCTGCTTCACTCAGCACTCACGGACATAAGTGTCACCTGGTCACACAGTGCTTCAGCTGCTTCACTCAGCACTCACGGACATAACAGTGTCACCTGGTCACACAGTGCTTCAGCTGGTTCTCTCAGCACTCACGGACATAAGTGTCACCTGGTCACACAGTGCTTCAGCTGCTTCACTCAGCACTCACGGACATAACGGTGTCACCTGGTCACACAGTGCTTCAGCTGGTTCACTCAGCACTCACGGACATAAGTGTCACCTGGTCACACAGTGCTTCAGCTGCTTCACTCAGCACTCACGGACATAACAGTGTCACCTGGTCACACAGTGCTTCAGCTGGTTCACTCAGCACTCACGGACATAAGTGTCACCTGGTCACACAGTGCTTCAGCTGCTTCACTCAGCACTCACGGACATAACAGTGTCACCTGGTCACACAGTGCTTCAGCTGGTTCACTCAGCACTCACGGACATAACAGTGTCACCTGGTCACACAGTGCTTCAGCTGGTTCACTCAGCACTCACGGACTAAGTGTCACCTGGTCACACAGTGCTTCAGCTGCTTCACTCAGCACTCACGGACATAACAGTGTCACCTGGTCACACAGTGCTTCAGCTGGTTCACTCAGCACTCACGGACATAACAGTGTCCACCTGGTCCCCACAGTGCTTCAGCTGGTTCACTCAGCACTCACGGACATAAACAGTGTCACTGGTCACACAAATGCTTCAGCTGGTTCACTCAGCACTCACGGACATAAGTGTCACCTGGTCACACAGTGCTTCAGCTGCTTCACTCAGCACTCACGGACATAACAGTGTCCCCTGGTCACACAGTGCTTCAGCTGGTTCACTCAGCACTCACGGACATAACAGTGTCACCTGGTCACACAGTGCTTCAGCTGGTTCACTCAGCACTCACGGACATAACAGTGTCACCTGGTCACACAGTGCTTCAGCTGGTTCACTCAACACTCACGGACATAACAGTGTCACCTGGTCACACAGTGCTTCAGCTGCTTCACTCAGCACTCACGGACATAAGTGTCACCTGGTCACACAGTGCTTCAGCTGGTTCACTCAACACTCACGGACATAACTCTCCACTTGCATCACTAAACATCTCTGGATCTTTTACCAAGTTCTTCACATACTTTTCTCTCATTCTCCGTCGATAATAATAATAATAATAATAATAATAATAATAATAATAATAATAATCTGCTGCTTCACCCTCATTACCTGCTCCTCCACACTTGTCTTCTTTAAGTGACTGTGGAGTAACTTTGTGTCTGTTGTCGTCTTTAAGTGACTGTGGAGTAACTTTGTGTCTGTTGTCGTCTTTAAGTGACTGTGGAGTAACTTTGTGTCTGTTGTCTTCTTTAAGTGACTGTGGAGTAACTTTGTGTCTGTTGTCTTCTTTAAGTGACTGTGGAGTAACTTTGTGTCTGTTGTCTTCTTTAAGTGACTGTGGAGTAACTTTGTGTCTGTTGTCTTCTTTAAGTGACTGTGGAGTAACTTTGTGTCTGTTGTCTTCTTTAAGTGACTGTGGAGTAACTTTGTGTCTGTTGTCTTCTTTAAGTGACTGTGGAGTAACTTTGTGTCTGTTGTCTTCTTTAAGTGACTGTGGAGTAACTTTGTGTCTGTTGTCTTCTTTAAGTGACTGTGGAGTAACTTTGTGTCTGTTGTCTTCTTTAAGTGACTGTGGAGTAACTTTGTGTCTGTTGTCTTCTTTAAGTGACTGTGGAGTAACTTTGTGTCTGTTGTCGTCTTTAAGTGACTGTGGAGTAACTTTGTGTCTGTTGTCTTCTTTAAGTGACTGTGGAGTAACTTTGTGTCTGTTGTCTTCTTTAAGTGACTGTGGAGTAACTTTTTGTCTGTTGTCTTCTTTAAGTGACTGTGGAGTAACTTTGTGTCTGTTGTCGTCTTTAAGTGACTGTGGAGTAACTTTGTGTCTGTTGTCTTCTTTAAGTGACTGTGGAGTAACTTTGTGTCTGTTGTCTTCTTTAAGTGACTGTGGAGTAACTTTGTGTCTGTTGTCTTCTTTAAGTGACTGTGGAGTAACTTTGTGTCTGTTGTCTTCTTTTTAAATGACTGTGGAGTAACTTTGTGTCTGTTGTCTTCTTTAAGTGACTGTGGAGTAACTTTGTGTCTGTTGTCTTCTTTAAGTGACTGTGGAGTAACTTTGTGTCTGTTATCTTCTTTAAGTGACTGTGGAGTAACTTTGTGTCTGTTGTCTTCTTTAAGTGACTGTGGAGTAACTTTGTGTCTGTTGTCTTCTTTAAGTGACTGTGGAAGTAACTTTGTGTCTGTTGTCGTCTTTAAATGACTGTGGAGTAACTTTGTGTCTGTTGGGCTTCTTTAAGTGACTGTGGAGTAACTTTGTGTCTGTTGTCTTCTTTAAGTGACTGTGGAGTAACTTTGTGTCTGTTGTCGTCTTTAAGTGACTGTGGAGTAACTTTGTGTCTGTTGTCGTCTTTAAGTGACTGTGGAGTAACTTTGTGTCTGTTGTCGTCTTTAAGTGACTGTGGAGTAACTTTGTGTCTGTTGTCGTCTTTAAGTGACTGTGGAGTAACTTTGTGTCTGTTGTCGTCTTTAAGTGACTGTGGAGTAACTTTGTGTCTGTTGTCGTCTTTGACGTTATAATATTGTCAGTTTTTTCTCCAACTTTCCGTCTTTAAGTGTATTCGTTTCTGGTTTTCCTGCTTCTTTGATTCGTTTTATATTCTCAGCCCTCTTGCTTCTCTCATTCACCTCTCTGCATTCGTGTGTACTCACCTATTTGTGGTGGTTACAGGGGTCGAGTCTTAGCTCCTGGCCCCTCCTCTTCGCTGTGTGTATGTGTGTTTTGCATTGTTTGATGGAATACTTGTGAATTTAAGACTCTTATTTATACCCGTCATCACTCCCAACTCTCTATCTCACATAGAGAGTATGAGAGCATTAGATGCTGTGGCTGGTGTTCCGACCATCTGGTGACAACAGGTGGTGAGTGAGCCCCATGATGTGGCTGCTGTGGTCCTTGTGTGAGTGTAACACTTCACGCAGGTGGTACAACAGGTGGTGAGGATGCTGGGGCAGGTGGTGTTTGTTCCCATAGGCTCAGAGACCCTTGGCTCGTGGGAAAAGAGTGCATCCAAGTTCCTCAAGGAGTTAGGCAAAAAACTCAACAGGGTAACTAGGGATCCCAGGGCAGCTAGTTTTCTGTTCCAGCGACTCAGCGCTGCTGTTCAGAGGGGTAATGCCTGCTGTATTTTGGGTACATAATATGTACTAGACATGTATCTCTCACATCTCATGTACTGTATATGCCATCTTTATATCAGCAATGTATCTCTTAAACCTTTTGTACCATATTATGTAATAAAATATACCTATTGGTGAAAAAGAGTGAAAAGATGGGATGGTAGGGGAAGTGGAACATTCAAACGGCTTCAGGAAGAAATCCAAATATTCTTCCTTGAAGCCTTTTTCTCCACTTCTCCGAGGCTGTGGCTCCCACAATTTACACCAGAGGTCATCGGTCATCGAATTTCCCTATGGTTTGTATGCCATTGAAGTTCACTTCAGTTTAGAACATGTTATATACTGTTATAGCAGTGTAGAACGTGTACACTGTTTATGATACACCGCACGTGCCTGTAGCCACACGGTGTAAGTACTGTGTAAATATAACAGTTACTGCTATGACTTAGGTGGTTCAACACTTGTGGTGTTGCTAGGGAGAGCAACACTACAACACTTGTGGTGTTGCTAGGGAGAGCAACACTACAACACTTGTGGTGTTGCTAGGGAGAGCAACGCTACAACACTTGTGGTGTTGCTAGGGAGAGCAACGCTACAACACTTGTGGTGTTGCTAGGCACAGCAACACTACAACACTTGTGGTGTTGCTAGCAGAGCAACACTACAACACTTGTGGTGTTGCTAGGGAGAGCAACGCTACAACACTTGTGGTGTTGCTAGGGAGAGCAACGCTACAACACTTGTGGTGTTGCTAGGCACAGCAACACTACAACACTTGTGGTGTTGCTAGGGAGAGCAACACTACAACACTTGTGGTGTTGCTAGGGAGAGCAACACTACAACACTTGTGGTGTTGCTAGGGAGAGCAACACTACAACACTTGTGGTGTTGCTAGGGAGAGCAACACTACAACACTTGTGGTGTTGCTAGGGAGAGCAACACTACAACACTTGTGGTGTTGCTAGGAGAGGCAACGCTACAAACACTTGTGGTGTTGCTAGGCACAGCAACACTACAACACTTGTGGTGTTGCTAGGCAGAGCAACACTACAACACTTGTGGTGTTGCTAGGGAGAGCAACGCTACAACACTTGTGGTGTTGCTAGGGAGAGCAACGCTACAACACTGTGGTGTTGCTAGGCACAGCAACACTACAACACTTGTGGTGTTGCTAGGGAGAGCAACACTACAACACTTGTGGTGTTGCTAGGGAGAGCAACACTACAAACACTTGTGGTGTTGCTAGGGAGAGCAACACTACAACACTGTGGTGTTGCTAGGGAGAGCAACACTACAACACTTGTGGTGTTGCTAGGGAGAGCAACACTACAACACTTTGTGGTGTTGCTAGGGAGAGCAACACTACAACACTTGTGGTGTTGCTAGGGAGAGCAACACTACAACACTTGTGGTGTTGCTAGGGAGAGCAACACTACAACACTTGTGGTGTTGCTAGGGAGAGCAACACTACAACACTTGTGGTGTTGCTAGGCAGAGCAACACTACAACACTTGTGGTGTTGCTAGGGAGAGCAACGCTACAACACTTGTGGTGTTGCTAGGGAGAGCAACGCTACAACACTTGTGGTGTTGCTAGGCACAGCAACACTACAACACTTGTGGTGTTGCTAGGGAGAGCAACACTACAACACTTGTGGTGTTGCTAGGGAGAGCAACACTACAACACTTGTGGTGTTGCTAGGGAGAGCAACACTACAACACTTGTGGTGTTGCTAGGGAGAGCAACACTACAACACTTGTGGTGTTGCTAGGGAGAGCAACACTACAACACTTGTGGTGTTGCTAGGGAGAGCAACACTACAACACTTGGGGGTGTTGCTAGGGAGAGCAACACTACAACACTTGTGGTGTTGCTAGGGAGAGCAACACTACAACACTTGTGGTGTTGCTAGGGAGAGCAACACTACAACACTTGTGGTGTTGCTAGGGAGAGCAACACTACAACACTTGTGGTGTTCCTAGGCAGAGCAACACTACAACACTTGTGGTGTTCCTAGGCAGAGCAACACTACAACACTTGTGGTGTTGCTAGGCAGAGCAACACTACAACACTTGTGGTGTTGCTAGGGAGAGCAACACTACACGAGAGGCTTAAGTCAACATGTTTCTCACTACGTGCAGAGTTATCCACTCAAAGTTCTACACAGCGTAGCTTTATGAAGTGGAACATTGTGCAGCTTGTGTGTTTGTACTTCTGTATATGGACGCAGGGGTCGAGTCACAGCTCCTGGCCCCTCCTGTATCGTTGATTGTGTTGTATACATGTTAACCCATGCAGGACAAGCCACGTTAGAATGGAAATTTTTAGCTCAGCATTTGTTGTCCTCCTCACCACTCCTCCAGCTCCACCACTCCTCCAGCTCCACCACTCCTCCAGTTCCACCACTCCTCCAGCTCCACCACTCCTCCAGTTCCACCACTCCTCCAGCTCCACCACTCCTCCAGTTCCACCACTCCTCCAGCTCCACCACTCCTCCAGTTCCACCACTCCTCCAGCTCCACCACTCCTCCAGCTCCACCACCCCCTCCAGCTCCACCACTCCTCCAGCTCCACCACTCCTCCAGCTCCACCACTCCTCCAGCTCCACCACTCCTCCAGCTCCACCACTCCTCCAGCTCCACCACTCCTCCAGCTCCACCACTCCTCCAGCTCCACCACTCCTCCAGCTTCACCACTCCTCCAGCTCCACCACTCCTCCAGCTCCACCACTCCTCCAGCTCCACCACTCCTCCAGCTCCACCACCCCTCCAGCTCCACCACTCCTCCAGCTCCACCACTCCTCCAGCTCCACCACTCCTCCAGCTCCACCACTCCTCCAGCTCCACCACTCCTCCAGCTCCACCACTCCTCCAGCTCCCCCACTCCTCCAGCTCCACCACTCCTCCAGCTCCACCACTCCTCCAGCTTCACCACTCCTCCAGCTCCACCACTCCTCCAGCTCCACCACTCCTCCAGCTCCACCACTCCTCCAGCTCCACCACCCCCCCCAGCTCCACCACTCCTCCAGCTCCACCACTCCTCCAGCTCCCCCACTCCTCCAGCTCCACCACTCCTCCAGCTCCACCACTCCTCCAGCTCCACCACTCCTCCAGCTCCACCACTCCTCCAGCTCCACCACCCCTCCAGCTCCACCACTCCCCCAGCTCCACCACTCCTCCAGCTCCACCACTCCTCCAGCTCCACCACTCCTCCAGCTCCACCACCCTCCAGCTCCACCACTCCTCCAGCTCCACCACCCTCCAGCTCCACCACTCCTCCAGCTCCACCACTCCTCCAGCTCCACCACTCCTCCAGCTCCACCACTCCTCCAGCTCCACCACTCCTCCAGCTCCACCACTCCTCCAGCTCCACCACTCCTCCAGCTCCACCACTCCTCCAGCTCCACCACTCCTCCAGCTCCACCACTCCTCCAGCTCCACCACTCCTCCAGCTCCACCACCCCTCCAGCTCCACCACTCCTCCAGCTTCACCACTCCTCCAGCTCCACCACTCCTCCAGCTCCACCACTCCTCCAGCTCCACCACTCCTCCAGCTCCACCCCCCCTCCACTCCACCACTCCTCCAGCTCCACCACTCCTCCAGCTCCACCACTCCTCCAGCTCCACCACTCCTCCAGCTCCACCACTCCCCCCAGCTCCACCACTCCTCCAGCTCCACCACTCCTCCAGCTCCACCACTCCTCCAGCTCCACCACTCCTCCAGCTCCACCACTCCTCCAGCTCCAACACTCCTCCAGCTCCACCACTCCTCCAGCTCCAACACTCCTCCACTCCACCACTCCTCCAGCTCCACCACTCCTCCAGCTCCACCTCCTCCAGCTCCACCACTCCTCCAGCTCCACCACTCCTCCAGCTCCACCACTCCTCCAGCTCCACCACTCCTCCAGCTCCACCACTCCTCCAGCTCCACTACTCCTCCAGCCCCACCACTCCTCCAGCTCCAACACTCCTCCAGCTCCACCACTCCTCCAGCTCCACCACCCCTCCAGCTTCCACACTCCTCCAGCTCCACCACTCCTCCAGCTCCACCACTCCTCCAGCTCCACCACTCCTCCAGCTCCACCACTCCTCCAGCTCCACCACTCCTCCAGCTCCACTTACTCCTCCAGCTCCACCACTCCTCCAGCTCCAACACTCCTCCAGCTCCACCACTCTCCAGCTCCACCACTCCTCCAGCTCCACCACCCCTCCAGCTCCACCACTCCTCCAGCTCCACCACTCCTCCAGCTTCACCACTCCTCCAGCTCCCACACTCCTCCAGCTCCACCACTCCTCCAGCTCCCACCACTCCTCCAGCTCCACCACTCCTCCAGCTCCACCACTCCTCCAGCTCCACCACTCCTCCAGCTCCACTACTCCTCCAGCTCCACCACTCCTCCAGCTCCAACACTCCTCCAGCTCCACCACTCCTCCAGCTCCACCACCCCTCCAGCTCACTGCACCACTCCCCCAGCTCACTCCACCACCCCTCCAACTCCCAATAGGTCTTCCGTTTCTTACACCACATACCCATGTTGTGGCTGGTAGTCACTACATACCCATGTTGTGGCTGGTAGTCACCACATACCCATGTTTTTGGAGATGGTCTAGAGATTACAGAGGTACAGAGTCCAGGAACTGTACCTCAACATTCTGATATCTAAGCAAATTACAGTTGTAATGAATTACAAGTTTGTGATTTGCTAACAATCATAAATGAGTTGTCTGCGCAGATGTGACTTGTTTGTGCAAAGCGTGTTCGCGCAGACGCCAGGTTGTTCGCCCAGACGCCAGGTTGTTCGCCCAGACGCCAGGTTGTTCGCCCAGACGCCAGGTTGTTCGCGCAGACGCGAGATTGTTCTCCCAGACGCCAGGTTGTTCGCCCAGACGCCAGGCTGTTCGCGCAGACGCCAGATTGTTCGCCCAGACGCCAGGTTGTTCGCCCAGACGCCGGGTTGTTCGCGCAGACGCCAGGTTGTTCGCGCAGACATCAGGTTGTTCGCGCAGACGCCAGGTTGTTCGCGCAGACGCCAGGTTGTTCGCCCAGACACCAGGTTGTTCGTCCACACACACACACACACACACACACACACACGCGCGCGCGCGCGAGACAAAATACTGGGTGGAATAGACAAGGTGGACAGAGACAGGATGTTCCAGAGATGGGACACAGAAACAAGGGGCCACAATTGGAAGTTGAAGACTCAGATGAGTCACAGGGATGTTAGGAAGTATTTCTTCAGTCATAGAGTTGTCAGGCAGTGGAATAGCCTAGAAAGTGACGTAGTGGAGGCAGGAACCATACATAGTTTTAAGACGAGGTTTGATAACGCTCATGGAGCAGGGAGAGTGAGGACCCAGTAACAATGAGTGAAGAGGCGGGACCAGGAGCTATGAATCGACCCCTGCAATCACATATAGGTGAGTACACACACACACACAACACAATAAAGCTCTTTGAGTAGGGAGACAGTGGACCTACTAGTGACTAGCTAAGAGGCAGGGACCAGGAGTTAAAATTCGACCCCCTGTAACTACAGATATGTGAGTACAGTAGGTGTGTACACAGTCTTTCTCTCAGGAAAGTGACTCAACAAGGAGGAAGTAAAGAAATTTCAGTTAATTATACGTGAACAGTTGAAGTTTTAAGAAAACTGTATAGATGTATATCTTGTGTGTGTGTGTGTGTGTGTGTGTGTGTGTGTGTGTGTGTGTGTGTGCATGTATTTGCCACCTCACCGGAAGTGTGTTGGGGCGCTGCGATACAACGCGGTTACATTATAATCACTCTTCTTGGGGCCGCGTGATCCTCCCTGGCTGTCACCTGGATGTTGTGTGTGTACCGGTAGCGAGTGCTTGATCAGTAGTACCGGTACTCCTCCCCAGTTACCCAGTAACGAGTAAGCGGCTCCGCTGGACCAGACGGTAGTAGATACTTCCAAGCGGCCAGATGGAAGATACAGTATGATGATACAATGATACTTCTATTTCAGCTTGATACAATGTTTGTACAAAGGTGAATAACATTTGGGTGTACCTGCAGAAAGCCACTATATATACAGAGCATTTCGGGCAAACTTAAATTGATTAATGAGGCGGTAACTAGATAAGTAATTTTATACATACAGTCACTTGGGTGAGTGTGATTATAAGTTTAGGAGTTTACAATGAATACAGGAGAAGTGAATATTCTATTTGTTCATGCTTATGGCTTTAACAAGTTTAATTGAGACGAATTACAGATTTGCTTATTAACATAAACAGGAGTTAAAAAAAACAAACCATACCACGGGTGGGGATAGAACCCACGATCAGTCATAAAACTCCAGACCGTCGCGTTAGGCACTGGGCCAGCTGGCTACAATAAGATTCATCCAACTAGGTATATTTATACATAATAGGAAGGTTAACATAGGCACCACAGGTGCCTATGTTAACCTTGTGTGTTGTAGAGGTCTGAGGAGCTCAAACCTCTACAACACAAAGTAAATGTAATAGTAATTATGAGCAAGGTAGATTATAGTGGAAAAATAAACATGATATTAGGAGACAGGGAACTCAGGCGCCTGTTATGACGGTTCAGGAGAGGCGTATTGAAATATAATGGAAACAATGCTATATTTAAAAAAAAAATAGCCATCGTAACACATAATCACTCCAGTAACTTCCCCAACTTTCTTCGAAGTCTGACACGTCAGTGTTGAAGGTTTCAAGCCGATTAAACGAGCCATTCTCAAGGTATCTCAGAGCAACTACAGTTGTGATGGTTTACTGTATATATAATAGACCGGTGGACACCTGCACATGCCAGTATTGCATGGACTTTTCCCCTCCTGGTTAAATTACATCGGCCTTCAAAATTTGAAGCCTATTGGATGAGGCATTCTCAAGGTATTAACAATAATCTTGGAAGAAGACTAACTTCAGGTAATCACTTGAATGTACTCCCTCGGGAATACCTGGAGGGCATCGGGGATCAACGCCCCCGCGGCCCGGTCTCAGACCAGGACTCGTGGTGGATCAGGGTCTTAACACCCAGGCTGTTACTGCTGGCCGCACGTAAACCGACGTAAGAACCACGGCCCGGCTGGTCAGGTACTGACTTTAGCTGCCTGTCCAGTGCCTTCTTCAAGACAGTCAGGGGTCTATTGGTAATCTCCCTTATGTATGCGTGGAGGCAGTTGAACAGTCTTGGGCCCCTGACACTTATTGTGTTGTCTCTCAGTGTACTCGTGACGCCCCTGCTTTTCATTAGGGAAATGTTGCATCTCCTGCCGAGTCTTTTCCTTTCGTAGGGAGCGATTTTCGTGTGCAAGTTTCGTACTAATCCCTCTAGGATTTTCAAAGTGTATACTTAACAAGCCACAACACCTTGGCTGGCTGGTACTGCTGCTACAGGGATACCTAACAAGTTACAATACCGTGGCTGGCTGGTACTGCTGATACAGAGATACCTAACATGCCACAATACCGTGGTTGGCTGGTATTGCTGCTAAAGGGATACCTAACATGCCACAATACCGTGGCTGGCTGGTACTACTCCCTCAGGGATACCTAACAATTCACATTACTGTGACTGGCAAGTACTACTCCCTCAGGGATATCTAACAAGTCACAATACCGTGACTGACTGATACTACCTCAGGGGTACCTAACAAGTCACAATACAGTGACTGGCTGGTTGGTTAACCAGAGATTAAAATTAAAAAATATTCACTGGAGTGCATCTATTATGTGCACTTTGCTTCACTTTCTACTTCAGTGACCATTTAACTTGTCTCTCTACACCGTGTTCTCCAGTCACACCGTGTACGTACTTTTACCCGAGTTCTCGCTCGTTCATTTCTACACGCTATAACATATTAAAAAATGTACAAGAGGGCCCACTTATACAGCAGGTTAGGTTCTGGGCTACAGCTGTCAATCTAAAAATCGCTGTAAAGTGAAACATGTTTCTCGTAATTTAGAAATTGCTGACACGTTCCTGCTGAAGAACTGGGATAGTGTGGAAAACCCTTACAATTCAGTAACAAGGACAGAAAAAGGGAGGACGCCATTTGTAATTTGGGAGCATTGGTTGTCGCAGAAATTCTGCTAATAATTCAGCATCTTCCGAGCCAAATTGGCGGGTAATAGGAACCCGTGCTAATGTTCCCTTCTGAAGAACTGGGACAGGAAATTTGCGGGACCTCAAGAATTACGTGTGTATGGCAGAAGATAAGGGATACGACCATCACTCACAGGAAAGTGTGCCATTAGTCTTTGCATTTAGATCTCTAACTGGCCAGTGTAGGGTCTAGGTGTTAGGTGTTGTGGTGTGATCCATCTACAGTAATTAAATGGTAAGTAGTAATACGAATTTCTTTTGTGTACCCAGGAAGCATAATCATATACAGTCCACATTATTTTATAATTTACCACTCCACAAAGGGGGCAGTAAAGCAACAGCAAAGAAACTACAGACCGATAGCACTAACATCCCATATCATAAAAATCTTTGAAAGGGTCCTAAGAAGCAAGATCACCACCCATCTAGAAACCCATCAATTACACAACCCAGGGCAACATGGGTTTAGAACAGGTCGCTCCTGTCTGTCTCAACTATTGGATCACTACGACAAGGTCCTAGATGCACTAGAAGACAAAAAGAATGCAGATGTAATATATACAGACTTTGCAAAAGCCTTCGACAAGTGTGACCATGGCGTAATAGCGCACAAAATGCGTGCTAAAGGAATAACAGGAAAAGTCGGTCGATGGATCTATAATTTCCTCACTAACAGAACACAGAGAGTAGTCGTCAACAGAGTAAAGTCCGAGGCAGCTACGGTGAAAAGCTCTGTTCCACAAGGCACAGTACTCGCTCCCATCTTGTTCCTCATCCTCATATCCGACATAGACAAGGATGTCAGCCACAGCACCGTGTCTTCCTTTGCATATGACACCCGAATCTGCATGACAGTGTCTTCCATTGCAGACACTGCAAGGCTCCAGGCGGACATCAACCAAATCTTTCAGTGGGCTGCAGAAAACAATATGAAGTTCAACGATGAGAAATTTCAATTACTCAGATATGGTAAACACGAGGAAATTAAATCTTCATCAGAGTACAAAACAAATTCTGGCCACAAAATAGAGCGAAACACCAACGTCAAAGACATGGGAGTGATCATGTCGGAGGATCTCACCTTCAAGGACCATAACATTGTATCAATCGCATCTGCTAGAAAAATGACAGGGTGGATAATGAGAACCTTCAAAACTAGGGATGCCAAGCCCATGATGACACTCTTCAGGTCACTTGTTCTATCTAGGCTGGAATATTGCTGCACACTAACAGCACCTTTCAAGGCAGGTGAAATTGCTGACCTAGAAAATGTACAGAGAACCTTCACGGCGCGCATAACGGAGATAAAACACCTCAATTACTGGGAGCGCTTGAGGTTCCTAAACCTGTATTCCCTGGAATGCAGGCGGGAGAGATACATGATTATATACACCTGGAAAATCCTAGAGGGACTAGTACCGAACTTGCACAAGAAAATCACTCACTACGAAAGCAAAAGACTTGGCAGACGATGCAACATCCCCCAATGAAAAGCAGGGGTGTCACTAGCACGTTCAGAGACCATACAATAAGTGTCAGGGGCCCGAGACTGTTCAACTGCCTCCCAGCATACATAAGGGGGATTACCAACAGACCCCTGGCAGTCTTCAAGCTGGCACTGGACAAGCACCTAAAGTCGGTACCTGACCAGCCGGGCTGTGGCTCGTACGTTGGTTTGCGTGCAGCCAGCAGTAACAGCCTGGTTGATCAGGCTCTGATCCACCAGGAGGCCTGGTCACAGACCGGGCCGCGGGGGCGTTGACCCCCGGAACTCTCTCCAGGTAAACTCCAGGTACTGGTATTAATGTTTAGTATTGTAATCATTAATTTAATGTCAGGTCTAACTTTTTGCGAGTGGTGAAGAAGTGGGCATCGAGAGAGTTACAGATCGGTGACTTAAGTCCCATTTATCTCATTTTCGGTGACTTAAGTCCCATTTATCTCATCCAAATTATTTGCCTGTAATACCTGTAAACCTCATGCAGGTAATTTGCTCACATAATAATAATTCACAATAGGTTAGGCAAGCGTAGGATTCACTATATCAAGATCCCAAGATGTTGCTATGTCTAATTTGTTAACTTGTCGGTTTTATGAACTATTCATCTACATTCTTTAATAATATATAATATTTGCAACGTTGCAGGTACACCAGCACTGGAGGTGGTGGGCACCAGGGCTCCCTACTGCCAGGCAGGTCAGCCTGACCATGTTACCTCTGACCTCTCCACTGGTCCACCCAGGAACACGGTGAGTACACTACACATTACCTCAGCACTGTGAGTACACTACACATTACCTCAGCACTGTGAGTACACTACACATTACCTCAGCACTGTAGGTACACTACACATTACCTCAGCACTGTGAGTACACTACACATTACCTCAGCACTGTGAGTACACTACACATTACCTCAGCACTGTGAGTACACTACACATTACCTCAGCACTGTGAGTACACTACACATTACCTCAGCACTGTGAGTACACTACACATTACCTCAGCACTGTGAGTACACTACACATTACCTCAGCACTGTGAGTACACTACACATTACCTCAGCACTGTGAGTACACTACACATTACCTCAGCACTGTGAGTACACTACACATTACCTCAGCACTGTGAGTACACTACACATTACCTCAGCACTGTGAGTACACTACACATTACCTCAGCACTGTGAGTACACTACACATTACCTCAGCACTGTGAGTACACTACACATTACCTCAGCACTGTGAGTACACTACACATTACCTCAGCACTGTGAGTACACTACACATTACTCAGCCTGTGAGTACACTACACATTACCCCAGCACTGTGAGTACACTACACATTACCTCAGCACTGTGAGTACACTACACATTACCTCAGCACTGTGAGTACACTACACATTACCTCAGCACTGTGAGTACACTACACATTACCTCAGCACTGTGAGTACACTACACATTACCTCAGCACTGTGAGTACACTACACATTACTCAGCACTGTGAGTACACTACACATTACCTCAGCACTGTGAGTACACACATTACTCAGCATGTGATACACTACACTACCTCAGCACTGTGAGTACACTACACATTACCTCAGCACTGTGAGTACACTACACATTACCTCAGCACTGTGAGTACACTACACATTACCTCAGCACTGTGAGTACACTACACATTACCTCAGCACTGTGAGTACACTACACATTACCTCAGCACTGTGAGTACACTACACATTACCTCAGCACTGTGAGTACACTACACATTACTTCATGTAATACGTAAAGCCACTGTCCTTATTTTCCAAGTCTAGATAATTGACGCATCTTTTCCTCTAAAGCAAGTTTATCCACGTTGAACATTTTGTTTTAAATCTTTAATTAAACCCATCTGTACAATACATTCAACAACAGTTTCCTTCAGATACACAACCCGTACTCAGGAGAATGAAACTTGTGACAGGGATGTGGTCCGAGTTGGAACCTTAACCAGTGACAAGTTCCATTCTCCTATGTGCGGGTTATCTGTGAATTGTTCCAGTCACAGTATTGGGCCTTTTTATTCTTTATTTAAGTGTTTTAACCTACTCTTCAAGTAGGAAGGCAGTGCTTCCTTAATTAGTAATACCTCTTATGCACAATTGAACTTGATACAGAAGTTCGAAATGTAAATGAGATTTGATAAAAGTAAAAAAAAAGAATAAGACTTTGACAGTTGAAAAATGTAATGGAAATGATTATTGAAAATATAATATACGTTAGGGTACAGAATATAACGGGATTTTGATAATTTTGGACATACAGTAATTTCCTGACATTATTATCCCCTGCTGCCTGCAGGTGGCATCCCCGGAGAGGAAGTCAGCTCCTGCAGGTGAAACTGCTGGGTCAGGAGGCCACGGGACAGGTGGTGGAGGGTCAGGAGGTCACGGGACAGGTGGTGGAGGGTCAGGAGGTCACGGGACAGGTGGTGGAGGGTCAGGAGGTCACGGGACAGGTGGTGGGGGGTTAGAGAGCAAGAAGCAGGACCCACCAAACAAGATATCTCTGACACTCAGCAAACGTGACCTCCTCCACCAGATGGTCAACCAGACCAAACAACACCGACAACAGATCAGGTCAGTGGTTACACTCTACTACTACTAGTCACTTTTGACTTTTTTTTTTTTTGGGGGGGGGGCTATCCTAGGTAATTTACACGTATGTTACTATGTATAATAATCTGTGTAACTATATTTATGTGTACCTGTACCAAAATAAACTTATTTGCTGGGATTCCCTTTTCTTGTTTGGGGGACCCTGGCCTTATGCTAGGCTGATTAAGTTTATTTAGGCACAGGTATACGTATGTGCAATTATTATACATAGTTTAAATTACCTAGGATAACTCACAAAAGTCGAGAGTAATTTATTTCCATTGGGGTGCCAGAAAACACGAGGCTGAGCTCAGGGCAACCACAGCATTACTTTGTGTCCTCTGTATGACTTGATAAAGATCTTAACATATAGAAATGTTGCCATAATAAATATTTGTTCTGCAGACATGGCTTTCACTGCATCATTCACAGTGGAAGGTTGCAGCCAGGGCTGGCAGCAGAGTAGCAGGTCATTAATGTCATGTCCCCTCAGTCTGTCATGACATTTTTGTCTCGATTGTCTCTGACTACTTTGTATAGATTATCATTGTTATTGCATTTATGGGGAAGTGCTAAATCTGTAGGGGTCACATAATATCTGGTAAATGGGAGGCAGTTACATTGGATTCAAGGAGGGCATCTTCAGTTCCTGGGTTCAAGAACCCTTCACTGTCATAAAGGCACCCTCTGGTAGAGAGAAATCACTGTTCTTGTAAGGAGCCATATAACTTATATTGCTTGTCACCTTCAGGAGCTTGGAGAATGAACTCGAGCGCCTGCGCTCCGGGGACATGTTAAACAAGTGTGAAGTGGGTGTGTCGGAGGTGGAATGGCGGCCTGGGGATGTAGTGGGTGAGGGCTCCTTCTCCACTGTCTACAGAGGCTCCTACTGTGGCACTGAAGTAGCCGTCAAGGAACTCAAGTTTAAGCTCTCACAGGTACAGTACTGTCATCTTGAAATTTAAAACGTAACTTCTCTTTCTTGTTTCAAAAATCATGCATGCAATTCACTTCTTGTATTAATTGTTGATGCAGCACCGTATAGTTGCTCGGTTAATTACACGAAAGACTTAAAGATGACAACGCTTGACCGTTCTGTCATTTATTAATATTTACTTATTACTGTACTGACACTTCATTGGCCTGATGCTGTAAATGGTATGTGTATCACTTTAAGCACTGTTAGTAGGTTCAGTAAGCCACAGGTTTCCTCTCCCTGTCAGGTTTGTAATATACTACATGGATTAGTACTGTATACTTCAGAAAATCATTCTGTCAAAGTCAATCATAGTTTTAAATTTCCAGACCATACCACGGGCGGGGATAGAACCCGTGATCAGAGAGTCTCAAAACTCCAGACCGTCGCGTTAGCCACTGGACCAGCTAGCCACAATAAGATTCGTCCAACTAGGTATATTTCTACACCATAGGAAGGTTAGCATAGGCACCACTGTGACCATAAATGCCAGTTTTTACAGACGAATCTCCAGCTAGCATGGCCGTGACGAACTCTAGCTCAAGTCCCCTCAAAGCCGTTAACATGACTTACGAAATCGTAATCGCGGGTTCTATCCCCGCTCATGGTATGGTTTGTTTGCAATCGTGTCATTACGATTTCGTGAGTCAAGCTAAATTTCCAGGTTTGCTGACTAGCCATTCCCATTCTTTTAGATTAATGATTTTATGTAACCAATGTCCATCCTGTGAGAGGTAGTGAGAAAAGATTACCCAGTAATCACATGATGGTTCAAGGGACCAGGCTCTAACAAAATTGGCTAAGCAGGTTGCTATACTTTTGAGGTTTTAAGCAAGTTGATATATTGTGATTTTAAGCTAGTTGCTGTAGTATTGAGATTTTTAAAGAGGCTGCTTTACTTTTGAGATTTTTATGTCACAATTAATAAAATCTAATTAACAGAAAAAGTGACAATTTCAGTGAAGCTGAAAATCTTTAATATTACCTTTGTAACTTCAGTGGCAGAACATTCTACTCACAAAGGGACTCAGGTTTGGTTCTAGGCAGGATGAAATGTATGATAGTCTCTCAACACCACCTGCCTAGCAATACTGTTGTTATATTCACATGAAAGTGCTAAACCTCCGTGGGTCCACCTAGCAATTGTGGGTTGCATCCTGGTGGTATGACCTTTAGACCCTTAAGAACCATGACAGAAGTACGTATGTCATACTGCTTAGTTGTCTGGAGTTATCCTGGGTTGACTCTCTGGGGTTACTAACCCAAATAAAATCATTGTCTTCTTCCTTAGGTTAATGTTAAGCAAATATTTGGCTACTGAATGTGGATGATCATTGCTCATATACAAGTATTAAAATCTGCACAGTGTAAAGAAAAGTTAAAAAAAGAGTGAAAGACAACAAAATGCAATGCAATTTTTATTTGCAGAATTTTCATTACATGGGTGTGCAACTGAGAAAAATTGCAGTGAGTTTCTTGAATTGACTTAAAAAAAAAAATCCATATTACATGCAGCATTTCAGGAAAGTCTAAAGCTCAGTAAAAAGCTTATGTATTGAAAATAACCAGAATGAGACGGCTGAATGAAAAGCAGCAGCTGCTTCTGGAGTTTATCCTTGAGGGTGGCAGTCAGCACTGTTTGGTGATTAGGGAATGATTACATAATAAGTGAACTGTACATAATAGGGGTTCAAGTGTTTAAATGAATGGTTTCCACTTGAATGTATCTGCTATAATTATGAATATTTGAAGCACCATGAGGTGGTTAAAATCTGTGATAACCTTTCTATGGTATGCAGTTTGGATTTCCTGATGTATACCTCCTGAAGATATTACCATACAAAAAACATTAAAAATTTCTATGGTAAATTACAGGCTAAGTCTAACCTGCCCATAAATATGTAAAATGTAGGCAGGAAACAATAACATTGAGCATGAATATTAAAAAATATACAAGAAACATGTATTGATTGAGATTATACTGTATGTATATTGATGAGAGTTATGGTATACTTAGTAAAATTATTATTCTTTTTAACACACTGGCTGTCTCCCACCGAGGCAGGATGACCCGAAAAAGAAGAAACACTTTCATTAAGTTTTTCTTCTTTTTACATTTAGTAATTTATACAGGAGAAGGGGTTACTAGCCCCTTGCTCCCAGCATTTTAGTCACCTCTTATAACACTCATGGCTTACGGAGGAAGAATTCTTTTTCACTTCCCCATGGAGACTTAATAAAATATTAGAGGTAGAGGAACCACAGTAAATTTTAAAAGTATTGATTAAAAATTACATTAACACAAGATACACACTTACTGTACTAATAGTATTCTTAAAAAATATACAGTACTACTTATGGAGGTATGTATTTATATGCAATAAATTATAAGTTAATGAAGTAGTACTAAGTGTGCACATGTAATTTTAGAATTAAGATTAAATTATGACAAAAATTGCATACAGGCATACCTCACTGATACAGTGCTTTGCTTTAGAGCACTTCGTTAATATGAGTTAATATTTTTAGGCCTAGCTCTGTTGCACTTAAAAAATGATAGTGTAAACATGTTTTTAATTTTTTACATGCCCTGGCAAGTGAAAAAAAAAAAGGACTGCAATTTGCTTTACAACAGTGGTCTGGAACCCTATATTGTATAAGGGTAAATAATAGTTATAAGAAAGATAATTGAGAATGATTTTACAAGGTTTCATATTTAATGAAGAAATTTAGTGCACGAGGAATGAACTGACCCAAACTCCAGTAGCCTGCTCATGCTTATTAACTCAAATTTTACTGTTTAGCATTATAGTCATTTCCAAATTTCATAATGCAGACTTCCAGGACCTCTTGTCATCCTATTTGAGACCCCCTTTATATACCATCTTTTTCTGTGCTGTTTTATATATTCTTGATGTCTTGTGATTTCCTGGCAATTTGTTTCATTATATTTAGTGATTTTTTTAGGATTTTTGTTTTTTTTTTGGTTTTCTGACATGTTGCAACATATTTCAACCTTTTAAATACTAACAAACATTTTTACTTTAAATTTTTCATGCCTTCTTGGCCTAACAAAATGTCATCAGCAAAAAAAGGGACACTTCTGTAATGTATAACTTCCTGATCCAAATCTTCTCAAATATAATGATGTTGACCACTAGACCAAGACCTTTCTACCTGCCTGAATACCACTGTGACTCACTATACTAGGACTTTCCAACCCACCTAGATACTGTTACTGCCTGCCTGAATACCACTGACTCACTGTACTAGGACCTCCCTACCCACCACCCAAATACTGTTGCGAAGATTCTCTGACCAGCTACACTGTGACCTCCCTACCCACTGAAATCCTGTACTGGGACACTGACCAGCTAGACTATGACCTTCCAACCTGCCTGACACCCTGCAGGATGACAAGAACTACTTCAGGTCAGAGGCAGCGCTCCTGCAGCAGCTGCACCACCCTCGAGTCGTTCTCTTGATGGGGGTGTGCACCGGGGCAGCTCGTCCCTTCATGCTCCTTGAATACCTCTCTGGCGGTACACTCTACAATCTTATCCACAACACCACGTGAGTATTCAGGCCACTTAATCTTATCCACACCACCAAGTGAGCACCTGGGCTTATTTAACTTCGTCCATGTGAGTACTCAGGCTTGATAAATTGAAGAAGTGTTTGGATCTGGTTGTGTAGATCAGGTGTTGGACGTTCCAGAGACTGAAGCGAATTGTTCATGTTTCTTCCTTTTTATTGGTATTAAACTTTCTCCTTCAACAAATGGTTTTAGTTCATTGTTTTAAAGGTTTGCCGTCAGAGAAATGGATTGCAATTATGTTTTCTAACTTTCACATTATTTTATGCAAGTTAACACAAATTCACAAATAAATGCAAAGTATTCTTGAACTTATAGAAAAAAAAAACTCATTTATTTTGGCTATTATTTTTATTTAACCCGTAAACGGTCCAAGCAGATCTACGTTCACATGTGTAGTGCTCCAAAAGTAGATCTACGTTTTTTTTACATATTTTCAAATATAACAAACAAGTAAGTATGTCAAGTATTTTATACACACATTTCAAATGTTAATTTAAAAAAAAAAAAGAAATCTACTTTTTACATACTTTCAAATTGTTCAAAACCGATATATGCTTTGACCGTTTAGGGTTAAAATTTTTGTTTCTATAATTATTGTTTAACAGCCATAACTGTTGAATGGAAAGTTTGGTTAGTTTACAACCATGGGTACAAATTTATGTTTAACAAAGCACTAAGATTTTAACTCTAATGAACTGTTCAGACTAGTAGTTGGATCATCAGCGTACTTATTGTGGTGCAAAGACGTAGCCCAGGTATGAACTACTTTTCACACGCAAACACAGGTAAACACCTCCTTGTCTCTACTTTCAACAGGTTAAAAGGCACTTTTCTACCACTACTTCAACAGTTAACAGCACCTTCACTCTTACATTCAATGGTAAATGTTACCTCTTCTGTTCATAGGTAAATGACATCTGTCATGTGTTTTCATGAGGTAAAAGGCTGTCTGCCTTCTTACAATATGTAAATTGCTACTACTGTCAGTAGTAGTGGTGGTGTCAACACTGTACCACTACTGTCAGTAGTAGTAGTGGTGTCAACACTGTACCACTACTGTCAGTAGTAGTAGTGGTGTCAACACTGCCACTACTGTCAGTAGTAGTAGTGGTGTCAACACTACCACAACTGTCAGTAGTAGTTGTGGTGTCAACACTACCACAACTGTCAGTAGTAGTGGTGGTGTCAACACTACCACTGCTGTCAGTAGTAGTGGTGTCAACACTGTACCACTACTGTCAGTAGTAGTGGTGTCAACACTGTACCACTACTGTCAGTAGTAGTGGTGTCAACACTGTACCACTACTGTCAGTAGTAGTGGTGTCAACACTGTACCGATACTGTCAATAGTAGTGGTGGTGTCAACACCGTACCACTGCTGTCAATAGTAGTGGTGGTGTCAACACCGTACCACTACTGTCAATAGTAGTGGTGGTGTCCAACACCTGTACCACTGTCATAGTAGTGTGGTGTCAACACTGTACCACTACTGTCAGTAGTGTGGTGTCAACACTGTACCATACTGTCAATAGTAGTGGTGTCAACACTGTACCACTACTGTCATAGTAGTGTGGTGTCAACACTGTACCGCTACTGTCAATAGTAGTGTGTGTCAAACACCGTGACCACTCTGTCAATAGTAGTGGTGGTGTCAACACTGTACCACTACTGTCAATAGTAGTGGTGGTGTCAACACCATACCACTGCTGCCACCACTACTGTCAGTAGTAGTGTCAACACTGTACCACTACTGTCAGTAGTAGTGTCAACACTGTACCACTACTGTCAGAAGTAGTGGTGGTCAACACTGTACACTACTGTCAATAGTAGTGGTGGTGTCAACACTGTACCACTACTGTCAATAGTAGTGGTGTACAACACTGTCAAGTCAAAGTAGTGTGTCAACATAGTCACAGTCTGTAGTGGTGTCAACACCATACCACTCTCACACTATGTCAGATAGTAAGTCATGGTGTGTTCAACACTGTACCAACTGTCAGTAGTAGTGGTGTCTAACACTGTACCCTACTGTCAATAGTAGTGGTGGTGTCAACACTGTACCACTACTGTCAATAGTAGTGGTGTCAACACTGTACAACTGTCAATAGTAGTGGTAGTGTCAACACTGTACCACTACTGTCAATAGTAGTGGTGGTGTCAACACCGTACCACTGCTGTCAATAGTAGTGGTGGTGTCAACACTGTACCACTGCTGTCATTAGTAGTGGTGGTGTCAACACTGTACCACTACTGTCAATAGTAGTGGTGTAAACACTGTACCACTACTGTCAATAGTAGTGTGGGTCAACACTGTACCACTACTGTCATAGTAGTGGGGGTCAACACTGTACCACTACTGTCAATAGTAGTGGTGTGTCAACACTGTACCAGTGACTGTCAATAGTAGTGGTGGTGTCAACACTGTACCACTACTGTCAATAGTAGTGGTGGGGTCAACACTGTACCACTACTGTCAATAGTAGTGGTGGTGTCAACATTGTACCACTGCTGTCAATAGTAGTGGTGGTGTCAACACTGTACCACTACTGTCAATAGTAGTGTGGTGTCAACACTGCATGTAACACATGTACTGTCAATAGTAGTGGTGGGTCAACACTGTACCAGTACTGTCAATAGTAGTGGTGGTGTCAACACTGTACCACTACTGTCAATAGTAGTGGTGGTGTCAACACTGTACCAGTACTGTCAATAGTAGTGGTGGTGTCAACATTGTACCAGTACTGTCAATAGTAGTGGTGGTGTCAACACTGTACCAGTACTGTCAATAGTAGTGGTGGTGTCAACACTGTACCAGTACTGTCAATAGTAGTGGTGGTGTCAACACTGTACCATACTGTCAATAGTATGTAACCATGTACTGTCAATAGTAGTGGTGGTGTCAACATGTACCAGTACTGTCAATAGTAGTGGTGGTGTCAACACTGTACCAGTACTGTCAATAGTAGTGGTGGTGTCAACACTGTAACCAGTACTGTCAATAGTAGTGGTGGTGTCAACACTGTACCAGTACTTCAATAGTAGTGGTGGTGTCAACATGTACCAGTACTGTCAATAGTAGTGGTGGTGTCAACACTGTACCAGTACTGTCAATAGTAGTGGTGGTGTCAACACTGTACCAGTACTGTCAATAGTAGTGGTGGTGTCAACACTGTACCAGTACTGTCAATAGTAGTGGTGGTGTCAACACTGTACCAGTACTGTCAATAGTAGTGGTGGTGTCAACACTGTACCACTACTGTCAACACTGTACCACTACTGTCATAAGTAGTAGTGGTGTCAACACTGTACCAGTACTGTCATAAGTAGTGGTGGTGTCAACACTGTCCATACTGTCAATAGTAGTGTGGTGTCAACACTACCCAGCAACCTGTAACAGTAGTAGTTGTGGTGTCAACATTTACCACACTGTCAGTAGTAGTGTGGTGTCAACACTGCCACTAGCTGTCAGTAGTAGAGTGGTGTCAACATTTACCACAACTGTCAGTAGTAGTGGTGTCAACACTGTACCACTACTGTCAGTAGTAGTGGTGTCAACACTGTACCACTACTGTCAGTAGTAGTGGTGTCAACACTGTACCGCTACTGTCAATAGTAGTGGTGGTGTCAACACCGTACCACTGCTGTCAATAGTAGTGGTGGTGTCAACACCGTACCACTACTGTCAATAGTAGTGGTGGTGTCAACACTGTACCACTGTCAATAGTAGTGGTGGTGTCAACACTGTACCACTACTGTCAATAGTAGTGGTGGTGTCAACACTGTACCACTGTCAATAGTAGTGGTGGTGTCAACACTGTACCACTACTGTCAATAGTAGTGGTGGTGTCAACACTGTACCACTACTGTCAATAGTAGTGGTGTAAACACTGTACCACTACTGTCAATAGTAGTGGTGGGGTCAACACTGTACCACTACTGTCAATAGTAGTGGTGGTGTCAACACCATACCACTGACTGTCACAATAGTAGTGTGTCAAACACTGTACCACTACTGTCATAGTAGTGTGGTCAACACTGTACCACTACTGTCAATAGTAGTGGTGTCAATCCACTGCTACCTACTACTGTCAATAGTAGTGTGTCAACACTGTACCACTACTGTTAATAGTAGTGGTGTCAACACTGTACAACTGTCAATAGTAGTGGTAGTGTCAACACTGTACCACTACTGTCAATAGTAGTGGTGGTGTCAACACTGTACCACTGTCAATAGTAGTGGTGTCAACACTGTACTGCTACTGTCAATAGTAGTGGTGGTGTCAACACTGTACCACTACTGTCAATAGTAGTGGTGGTGTCAACACTGTACCACTGTCAATAGTAGTGGTGTCTACACTGTACCACTACTGTCAATAGTAGTGGTGGTGTCAACACTGTACCACTACTGTCAATATTAGTGGTGTAAACACTGTACCACTGCTGTCATTAGTAGTGGTGGTGTCAACACTGTACCACTACTGTCAATAGTAGTGGTGGTGTCAACACCGTACCACTGCTGTCAATAGTAGTGGTGGTGTCAACACTGTACCACTACTGTCAGTAGTAGTGGGGTCAACACTGTACCACTACTGTCAATAGTAGTGGTTGTCAACACTGTACCATAGCTGTCAATAGTAGTGGTGGTGTCAACACTGTACCACTACTGTCAGTAGTAGTGGGGTCAACACTGTACCACTACTGTCAATAGTAGTGGTGTCAACACTGTACCAGTACTGTCAATAGTAGTGGTGGTGTCAACACTGTACCACTGCTGTCAATAGTAGTGGTGGTGTCAACACTGTACCACTACTGTCAATAGTAGTGGTGGTGTCAACACTGTACCACTGCTGTCAACATAGTGTGAACACTGTACACTGCTGTCAATAGTAGTGGTGGTGTCAACACTGTACCACTACTGTCAATAGTAGTGGTGGTGTCAAAACATTTGTCACCAGTACTGTCAATAGTAGTGGTGGTGTCAACATGTACCAGTACTGTCAATAGTAGTGGTGGTGTCAACACTGTACCAGTACTGTCAATAGTAGTGGTGGTGTCAACATTGTACCAGTACTGTCAATAGTAGTGGTGGTGTCAACACTGTACCACTACTGTCAAAATGGTGTGCACAGTAATGTCAATAGTAGTGGTGGTGTCAACATATTGTAACAGTACTGTCAATAGTAGTGGTGGTGTCAACACTGTACCAGTACTGTCAATATAGTGGTGGTGTCAACACTGTACCAGTACTGTCAATAGTAGTGGTGGTGTCAACACTGTACCAGTACTGTCAATAGTAGTGGTGGTGTCAACACTTGTACCAGTACTGTCAATAGTAGTGGTGGTGTCAACATGTACCAGTACTGTCAATAGTAGTGGTGGTGTCAACACTGTACCAGTACTGTCAATAGTAGTGGTGGTGTCAACACTGTACCAGTACTGTCAATAGTAGTGGTGGTGTCAACACTGTACCAGTACTGTCAATAGTAGTGGTGGTGTCAACACTGTACCAGTACTGTCAATAATGTCAACAGTACTGTCAGTACGTATGGTGGTGTCAACATTGTACCAGTACTGTCAATAGTAGTGGGGGTGTCAACACTGTACCAGTACTGTCAATAGTAGTGGTGGTGTCAACACTGTACCAGTACTATCAATAGTAGTGGTGGTGTCAACACTGTACCAGTACTGTCAATAGTAGTGGTGGTGTCAACACTGTACCAGTACTGTCAATAGTAGTGGTGGTGTCAACACTGTACCAGTACTGTCAATAGTAGTGGTGGTGTCAACACTGTACCAGTACTGTCAATAGTAGTGGTGGTGTCAACACTGTACCAGTACTGTCAATAGTAGTGGTGGTGTCAACACTGTACCAGTACTGTCAATAGTAGTGGTGGTGTCAACACTGTACCAGTACTGTCAATAGTAGTGGTGGTGTCAACACTGTACCAGTACTGTCAATAGTAGTGGTGGTGTCAACACTGTACCAGTACTGTCAATAGTAGTGGTGGTGTCAACACTGTACCAGTACTGTCAATAGTAGTGGTGGTGTCAACACTGTACCAGTACTGTCAATAGTAGTGGTGGTGTCAACACTGTACCAGTACTGTCAATAGTAGTGGTGGTGTCAACACTGTACCACTACTGTCAACACTGTACCAGTACTGTCAATAGTAGTAGTGGTGTCAACACTGTACCACTACTGTCAACACTGTACCAGTACTGTCAATAGTAGTGGTGGTGTCAACATTGTACCAGTACTGTCAATAGTAGTGGTGGTGTCAACATTGTACCAGTACTGTCAATAGTAGTGGTGGTGTCAACACTGTACCAGTACTGTCAATAGTAGTGGTGGTGTCAACACTGTACCAGTACTGTCAATAGTAGTGGTGGTGTCAACACTGTACCAGTACTGTCAATAGTAGTGGTGGTGTCAGCACTGTACCAGTACTGTCAATAGTAGTGGTGGTGTCAGCACTGTACCAGTACTGTCAATAGTAGTGGTGTCAATAGTAGTGGTGGTGTCAATAGTAGTGGTGGTGTCAACACTGTACCAGTACTGTCAATAGTAGTGGTGGTGTCAACACTGTACCAGTACTGTCAATAGTAGTGGTGGTGTCAACACTGTACCAGTACTGTCAATAGTAGTGGTGGGGTCAAAACTGTACCACTACTGTCAACACTGTACCAGTACTGTCAATAGTAGTGGTGGTGTCAACATTGTACAAGTACTGTCAATAGTAGTGGTGGTGTCAACACTGTACCAGTACTGTCAATAGTAGTGTTGGTGTCAACACTGTACCAGTACTGTCAATAGTAGTGGTGTCAACACTGTACCAGTACTGTCAATAGTAGTGGTGGTGTCAACACTGTACCACTACTGTCAACACTGTACCAGTACTGTCAATAGTGGTGGTGTCAACACTGTACCACTACTGTCAACACTGTACCAGTACTGTCAATAGTAGTGGTGGTGTCAACACTGTACCAGTACTGTCAATAGTAGTGGTGGTGTCAACACTGTACCAGTAATGTCAATAGTAGTGGTGGTGTCAACACTGTACCAGTACTGTCAATAGTAGTGGTGGTGTCAACACTGTACCACTACTGTCAACACTGTACCAGTACTGTCAATAGTAGTGGTGGTGTCAACACTGTACCAGTACTGTCAATAGTAGTGGTGGTGTCAACACTGTACCAGTACTGTCAATAGTAGTGGTGGTGTCAACACTGTACCAGTACTGTCAATAGTAGTGGTGGTGTCAACACTGTACCACTACTGTCAACACTGTACCAGTACTGTCAATAGTAGTGGTGGTGTCAACACTGTACCAGTACTGTCAATAGTAGTGGTGGTGTCAACACTGTACCAGTACTGTCAATAGTAGTGGTGGTGTCAACACTGTACCAGTACTGTCAATAGTAGTGGTGGTGTCAACACTGTACCAGTACTGTCAATAGTAGTGGTGGTGTCAACACTGTACCAGTACTGTCAATAGTAGTGGTGGTGTCAACACTGTACCAGTACTGTCAATAGTAGTGGTGGTGTCAACACTGTACCACTACTGTCAACACTGTACCAGTACTGTCAATAGTAGTGGTGGTGTCAACACTGTACCACTACTGTCAACACTGTACCAGTACTGTCAATAGTAGTGGTGGTGTCAACACTGTACCAGTACTGTCAATAGTAGTGGTGGTGTCAACACTGTACCAGTACTGTCAATAGTAGTGGTGGTGTCAACACTGTACCAGTACTGTCAATAGTAGTGGTGGTGTCAATACTGTACCAGTACTGTCAATAGTAGTGGTGGTGTCAACACTGTACCACTACTACTACATACAGCAGAATGTTAAAAATATTGGTGCATTATTGCATTCATGGGAAAATCTGTAACTTGTAAGAGCATGGGAGGTAAACAGGTTTGATCCAAGGAAAGGGAGATCAGCACCAATTCTTTGGACCAAGAGCCTTTATCAGTATAAATGTTAGGGTGCATGAAATGCCCCATCATTTTTAAATTTGTTTGGGAACATTCCATCCTCATGTTATTGTTTTTTCACTTGACAAAAAGTTGCTGCCAAGTTTTGACTTCATCTTTGTAATCCACCAATGAGGTAAAAATAAATATCAAAATATAGTTTTACAGTTTATACTGTACTGAGTAAAATACATGATGTTATTTGAGAATTACTACATATTACTAGCAGGAAAATAAAACATTTATTACATATTTTTTGTGGCTAATCACTACATAGAGAAAAAATATATTACAGTTAGATTAAAGTAGTTAAAAGTTGCACACTACAAGTGTTCTCTGTATTTTGCTTACACAGGCTTTCCAGTTGTACATGATCACGTTATTTTCAGCAACTTCATGACTTGAGGCAGACCCAAATTGATTAAGAATTATAAAATAACTGGCAGAATTAATATTGAGAGCAAATGGAACATTTAAGGCTAGGGACAATCCAGTTGCTCTGTCTTTGGGCCTTTTCTTTGACTTAATATAAGAAGAGTTCCAAAAGCTATACACAGTATGACAGTACACACATTTTGCATCAACAATTGTGCCTCAATTCTTCTTTTAGCATACCGTATAAAAAATTTTGTGTTATTTTGTGTATTGAGTAATAGACATGCAGTATTTTTATGATTGATATAGGAATATGGTGAGCCTTAGAAAAATAATTCTAATTATATAATAGCAGTACAATATCAGCCATCAAAGGATTGAAAAATATGGTAACAGTAACTATAATGTTAAAAATATGAAATAGTAAAATATTGTGGAGAATAATAAATGAATATAAAATCATGAACAGTAAAACTATAGTTATAACACAAGCTGTATCCTTTTTGCAACAGGTGCTGCACCTGGACCTGAAGTCAATGAACGTCCTTCTGGACTCCTACTACAGGGCCAAGATCGCTGATTTTGGCTTCTCCATTCTGAGACGATCACGTACAGGCTCTCCAGCTCAGCGTGGCTCTATCAGGTGAGACACCCCACTCATGTGTAAACAAGAACATACAGATTCATTAGTGCTGGCAACAGGCGAGTACAAATAAGTATGGCACTTGTGTTTCACTTGTGGTATTGAGGATCAAGCCTCCACCTCTGTGTGCTGACTAACCCACATTGATTTAGCACTTTATTCCACACTGATTTAGCATTTCATGTAAATATAATAACTACAGTGTAGGCTATTTTTTTTCCCAAGATATGTCTATCAGGTGAGACACTCCAATCATATTACACATGGATAAAAACTATATACATATACAGTGGACCCCCGGTTATCGGCCGTAATCCGTTCCAGAAGGTTGGCCAATAACCGAAATGGCCAAAAACGAAATTAATATTTCCCACAAGAATTAATAGAAATACAATTAATCCGTTCCAAACAAAAATATTCACAAAAAAAAAAAAAAAAATTAACAATTATGTAAGTACATGTATTACATACCTTTATTGAAGGCTAATGCTAGCTTCTGGAAGATAGGGAGGAGTTAGTGTTTGGAAGGGGAATCCCCCTCCATAAAGACTAGGTAGCAAAGCCTTCTCTGGGGTTACTTCCCTTCTCTGTCTTTTAATGCCACTAGGACCAGCTTGAGTCACTGGACCCCTGTCTCACACAATAACTGTCCAGAGTGCTCTGTTTCTGGCGTCTCTTTAAGATTTCCCTGAAGTGGGCACGGTTTTGTCACTAAACATGTTGCAGATATGGCTTATTTCAGCTTTGTCAGGGTGGTGTTTCTCTACAAAAGCTTGCACCCTAGTCCACATTGCACATACCTCTTTAATCTCTGAAGAAGGCACTTCCTTCACTCCCTCTTCCTCCTCCTCTGAAGCAAGTTCCTCAGCTGCAGTCAGTTGCTGTTCGAGATGAAGCTCTTGCAGCTCTTCAGTGGTTAGCTCTTCCCTGTGGTCCTCCTCCAACTCTTCCACATCCTTGCCACTCGCCTCCAACCCCAGGGACTTACCCAGTGCCACAATAGAGTCCACAGGGTCAGGGTCAGCCTCAAACCCTTCAAAATCCCTCTCTTGGACACAATCTGGCCACAGTTTTCTCCAAGCAGAGTTCAATGTCCTGGAAGTCACTCCCTCCCAAGCCTTACCTATAAGGCTTATGCAATGGAGGATAGTGAAGTGATTCCTCCAGAACTGTCTTAGGGTCAATTAAGTGTCTGATGTCACTTCAAAGCACTTTTGAAACACTGCTTTTGTGTGGAGTTTTTTGGAGTTAGAAATGACCTGCTAGTCCATGGGTTGGAGGAGAGGAGTGGTGTTAGGAGGCAAGAACTTCACTTAAAATTGAAGTCCCTAAACATTTGGTCTTTCAAGTCTGGAGGATGTGCAGGAGCATTGTCCAGTAACAGGAGGCACTTGGGTGGCAATTTCTTTTCCAGGAGGTATTTTTTCACACTTGGGCCAAACACATCATTAACCCACTCTTTGAAAATTTGCCTTGTGACCCATGCCTTATGATTAGCTTTCCACATCACACACAATCTATTCTTCATGACATTGTTTTCTTGAACACACTGGGATTTTCTGAGTGATACACAAGTAAAGGCTTCACTTTGAAATCCCCACTAGCATTACCACACAACAAAAGAGTAGGCCTGTCTTTCATAGGCTTGTGTCCTGGCAGTGCCTTTTCCTCCTGGGTAATGTAGATCCTGTTTGGCATTTTCTTCAAAAACAGGCCTGTTTCGTCACAATTGAACACTTGTTGGGGTTTCAAATCCTTCAGCCTTTACATAGTCTTGGAATTCGTGAACGTACTTTTCAGCCGCACATTTGTCAGAACTTGCAGCATCACCATGCCTTACAACACTGCATGCCACTATGCTTCTTTAATCTATCAAACCATCCTTTGCTGGCCCTAAATTCACAAACTGCAGCACTTGTTCCAGGCATTTTCTTTGCAAGATCCTCATGCAACTGCCTTGCCTTCTCACAAACAATAGACTTCACAACACTGTCTCCCACTAATTCTTTTTCCTTAATCCACAATAATAATAACTTTTCCATCTCTTCCATTATTGGTGGCCTTTGTTAAGCTAGACAAGTTTCTTCTTTTGCAACATTAGCATCTTTGATTTATTCTTTCTTTGCCAGGATGGATGTAATTGTTGATTTATTCTTGCTGTACATCCTGGCAAGTTCCACCACCTTCATACCACTCTCAAACTTTTCTATCACTTCATGCTTAAATTCCATGGTGTTTCTCACTTTCTTTACCACAGGAACTTTCTTTGGAGCCATGGTTACTTATTTCACAGTTGCATTGCAAAAAACCTCTAAAAACAATGGAAAAACGGGCAAAATGTTTGGATGTATGAGCAGAACCTTCCTCAGCTACCGAGAGACAAAGCCAAACTGACATGCAAGCGGCCCCAGCCGGCAGATGGACACGTCCCAAACGGCTGATAACCGAATTAATGGCCAATAACTGGGAGTCCACTGTAGTATATTTTTTTAACACACTGGTTATCTCCTACCGATGTAGGGTGACCCAAAAAAGAAACACTTTCACCATCATTCACACTATCAATGTCCTGCCAGAGGCACATAGATACAACAGATTAGACATCCCTCCAAACAGCAAAAAATAGGTGAGTACAAGTAGGAAGCTCTTCTGTCTGGCGCTCAGCAGATGGAGGGTCAAGCCTCCACCACTTCTTGTGCTGAATGACCCACATGAGTCTAGCGCATAACGTGAATTATAATAATAATCCAAACAGCAAATATCCCCACCCCTCCTTTAGAGTGCTAACTCCTTATAGGAGGTTCCTTGATGTTAGTGATGGCCTCCTGATAAGAAATTAGACCTGTGCTCCAATTCCCTGAATCAAACTTAAATGCCTTTCATTCTCTCAAGCACTGTATGACCCTTTTTTGTTTAGCATTCCCCTTCCCTCGAATATAATAATAATGAAAATGCTGACATATAAATATTACCGTAATTAACACAGGATATATGGATATATATATGATATATAAGATGTATGTTATATATCTATATATGCTTCTAAACTGTTGTATCTGGGCACCTCTGCAAAAACAGTGATTATGTATGAGTGAGGTGAAAGTGTTGAATGATGATGAAAGTATTTTCTTTTGGGGGATTTTCTTTTTGGGTCACCCTGCCTCGGTGGGAGACGGCCGACTTCTTGAAAAAAAAAAAAAATATGGACTCAAATCTGGTTAGCCAGACTTGAGTCCTGGACATGGGAAGTACAATTCCCACACTCTAAAGGAAGGGTTTGGGATATTTGCTGTTTAGACTGACATCTAAACTCTTATCTGCACGCCTTTTGCAAGAGTGATAGTGTGAATGATGGTGAAAGTGTTTCTTTTTCGGCGGGAAATGGCCGGCATTAAAAAAAAAAAAATACAGGGATAAATTATTTGTGCTTCTTTCCACTATTGTAACAGGGTCATTGGTGTCATGTACAGTGCAGGGATTCCAAACCCTTGGGTACCAAGCACTTTAAAACTATCTTAAAACTTACTCATTTTGACAAAAATCTGTGAAAGGAATTACTTTGTGTATGACCCCATTTAAAAGTTATAAGAATAAAATTAGTGGCTCTGATTTTTCACTTATATTTTGGTTAAGTTTAATGTTTTCAGATAATCAGTGTACTGTTACTGTATTTCTGTAGCTCCCACTTGATGCCTTCCTGTATCTTCCCTTAGTACTTATTCTTCCTTTCCTATGATGATGAAGCTCAGTGTCTTGCACTCTCAACAGAGGAACACCTGCATGGATGGCTCCGGAACTCCTCACGAAGGGAGATGTGTCAGCCAAGTGTGATGTGTACAGCTATGCCATCATCCTGTGGGAGATGCTCACTGCCAGCCACCCCTTCAAGGGTCTTGACATCTTCCAGGTGGGTGATAGCTTGGTCATTAATACAAGATGTACCTCTAGCCCTGGTCTTCTATTATTTGGTCACTCATTATGATTTGAATATTATAATAATTATAGGTTAGCAGTGAATCCATAAGTCATACAGCTCATGGGAATGGGAGATAATCAGGTTTAATCCAAGGAAGGGGAAAAATAGGTCCATATAGACCAAGGGCCTTGAGGGCTATGGTTTGAGACTACAGTGTAACTGTTCTATTTGCAGACATATTCTTCAGTCATATATAGTACTGGACAACTAAATGTACAAAAGAATGATAGTGAAACAATATCTTGAAGGCTAAATTTTTAATGCAAGCACCACTAAACTAAAAATAACAGTGTATGCACTGAATTGTCTGGTTACTAGTAGATCAGCTTGGTTAAGAGACACTGCTAGGGATGTATCTGTGTACTGCATATTTAGAGGTGTGTGTTTATGAATTGAGAATTTACTTGAATTCCTATCTTAGTGGTTGAAGTAGGTATTTTTGATGTTAGTGACTAGGTATGCTGACATTAATGACCCTAGTCTAGTTGATAGGCACATTGTCCAATCTTTCTCCTTAGATCATGGAGACCATTGAGGCTGGAGGTCGGCCACCACTGCCTTCTAGCGGTGTGTCACGGGAACTAAAGGAGCTTATCACATCATGCTGGGCCCAAAATCCCTCCTTGCGACCCAGCTTTGAAGAGATCCTGGGTGCCCTAGAGTCGGCAGCAGTGCCAGCATCATGGCGTGGTGTACTGCAGAAGGCCAATGTCACCCCGTCCCTCCTCTCTGATGTGGCTGCTGCTAGGTACATCTTGTGGAACAAATGTCAAGGACACGACCACAATGGAATTTTAGTTTTTTTAATTAGTTTGAACATTTGTGTAAAAACTTGTATGTTGACACGTTTTAAAAACTCATTCGTCAGTCTAATTCATCATTACAGCACTATACCAAAGATCAAAATTTTAAAGAATTATAAATTAAGATACACTAGAATTAACTTGATACAGTATGATGTGCAAGTTTTTTTATACTAATACACGTATTGCTTTCCATGATGAAAGTCATTTTGAGAGGGAAAGATTCAAGCATATTAAACTAACCCTTTTTGTATATACAGTAGACCGTCATTTAACACGGTAGTTACGTTCCTGAAAACACCGTGTTAGGTAAGACTGCATTAGGTGAACTGAAGAACTTGTGGGAAAAATGGGGTTATGTTCCTGGGAGACCCGAAAAAGCCAAATGCCACTTTTTTTTAGACCAATAGATCTTGCAAAAATAAAAGTGAATATGTAACTGTAGTTCATTGTTCTGATGTATTATGTTGTTTTCACTGCTTAAGATTACAAATGCAACAGAAATAATAATATTTCTTACCTTTTAAATTGTGGGTGCTGATGTTTGTGGATGACTGGGGAGAGTTATGCTGTGGCCCTACTGGGCTGAGGTGGATGGTAGAGGTTCTGGTACTAAAGTCGATGGTTGGACTCTAGTGTGCATTAATTCTGTAATGGATTTCTGTTCTATTTTTACCCAGCAGTACATTATACAACTGACAGTAAGACATCAGCTGCTCTAGACACTATTTCAGGGTCCTTCAGTGAAAAAGTCTAAGTCTCAGCCAGTAAGTCATCACAAACTCATTTACCTCAGTCTTATGTGCTGACCCACAAGGCGACAGCTTGAGCTGGGGAAATTTTTCCGCGCACAAACGGAACCAACTAAAGTTAATTTTACGAAGTGTCGTATAAATTTGTGCTGCAATTTTTCAATCATGCTATAACCAAATCACGCCAGATAAACTTGTGTTCAATGACGGTCTACTGTACTGTCTGAAGAATTAACCTTCAAGAGGTGTGCCTTGATGCTAGTTAAGCTTCTGATCCATATAATTATAGCTATCCTTTCCTCAGGTCAAATTTGCTTACCTCCCTATTCCCCAAGCACTTTATATTATATAATCAAGTTAAACACTAAACCTGAAAGGGTCATACAGTACTATCAGGTGCTGTATAACCCCCTACAATTTTAGTGCTTCTCCATAATCATCACCCATTTTTATCATAATACAAAATAATGCTGTCACCTGCAGTTTAGTGTGTGGTAGAAGCAAGTAGTACTACTGTCTACACCCTCACACTGACACCATCATTGATAATCCTTCTTTAGAACCTAAAATCACATGTAATGGAGTTTCTTCTATAAAAGTAATGGTTAAATTTCTGCAAGTCAAATACAATGCTATCATGGGGACCTGCCAGAACTATAAGTCATACATTACCTGGGATATGGGGAGGAAATCAGGATTTAACCAAGGAAAGGGAGGGGTAACTTCAGTTCCTTGTATCATTATCTCTTCACCAGCATTACAGCACCCTCCTGGAAGGACACAAAATTTACATAAAGCAAAGACAGATTTATAATAGGCATCTCAACATGTAACGTAGAACCTTGCATGGGCATATATTCTTGTACTATTTTATTTATGAAACTAGCTAAGCTAATAAGTTGCACCTAGGACAATCATCGGGGTGGTGGAGCAGAGTGTGGAGCTGATGCGTCGTTCGCTACAACTTCAGCGTGCAAAGAAGAGAAACCAAGAAAATGAAGAGGCCAAGGGAGAGCCTCAGCCGCATGTGTACGAGAGTGTGGACACAGAGCGTGTGGTGGCTGCCAGCCCCACCCGCCACAAACTCAGGGACAACAAAGGTTACTTACTGCTGAGACTTTAGTTTTAAAATTTCTGTTTAAATTCATTTACTTTTTTCACATCACTAGTAATTAATTGCATTAACAATCACTAAATGGAATACTTTAAGCAGTTACTTATGGAAATGTTTTAGTCTGACAAATTATATACATTAAGAGGTGTCTTGCATTGTACACACTTCAAGATGGTTATGCTCATGTAGTATTAACACTTTGGCTACACTTGTTAGTATTATAAAAAGTGATGATACAAGATAAACTACCTGCACAGAAACGTGAACACAATCTACTGGGTATATTGTACTTTTTATCTCGTTTATTTCAATGGTTATTGCAGTATATCTGTAAATTGTGTATACATTACTTCTCAGATTCTGAAGAGAAGTTGCAGAGATTGGTGGATGAATTTGGTAGGGTGTGCAAAAGAAGAAAATTAAAGGTGAATACAGGAAAGAGTAAGGTTATGAGGATAACAAAAAGATTAGGTGATGAAAGATTGAATATCAGATTGGAGGGAGAGAGTATGGAGGAGGTGAATCATAGAATTGATGAGGGAAAAAGAGTGAGTGGTGCACTTAGGAGTCTGTGGAGACAAAGAAGGGAATGTATGAGAGTATAGTTTTACCAATGCTCTTATATGGGTGTGAAGCATGGGTGATGAATGTTGCAGTGAGGAGAAGGCTGGAGGCAGTGGAGATGTCATGTCTGAGGGCAATGTGTGGTGTGAATATAATGCAGAGAATTCGTAGTTTGGAAGTTAGGAGGAGGTGCGGGATTACCAAAACTGTTGTCCAGAGGGCTGAGGAAGGGTTGTTGAGGTGGTTCGGACATGTAGAGAGAATGGAGCGAAACAGAATGACTTCAAGAGTGTATCAGTCTGTAGTGGAAGGAAGGCGGGGTAGGGGTCGGCCTAGGAAAGGTTGGAGAGAGGGGGTAAAGGAGGTTTTGTGTGCGAGGGGCTTGGACTTCCAGCAGGTATGCATGAGCGTGTTTGATAGGAGTGAATGGAGACAAATGGTTTTTAATACTTGACGTGCTGTTGGAGTGTGAGCAAAGTAACATTTATGAAGGGGTTCAGGGAAACCGGCAGGCCGGACTTGAGTTCTGGAGATGGGAAGTACAGTGCCTGCACTCTGAAGGAGGGGTGTTAATGTTGCAGTTTAAAAACTGTAGTGTAAAGCACCCTTCTGTCAAGACAGTGATGGAGTGAATGATGGTGAAAGTTTTTCTTTTTCGGGCCACCCTGCCTTGGTGGGAATCGGCCAGTGTGATAATAATAATAATAATAATAAATTAGGAATACAGTAGAGTACAGTGGTACCTTGAGTTACAAACTTAATTTGTTCCAGAAGGCTGTTCGAGTGCCAATACTGAACAAATTTGTTCCCACAAGGAATAATGTAAATTAGATTAGTCAGTTTCAGACCCCCAAAAATACACTTATAAAAGCACACTTACATAATCGTTTGAGTTGGGAGCTGTTCAAAACTTGCAGTACCACTGTACTTGGGCACTGTTTCTGTGATTTTGTAACTTTACTTTGATTTACCAGACACTTGGAGAATCCTCTACTATTAGTCCATTATAATGAGGGTTTACTAAGCAGTTTTACTTTAAATTATAAAATACAAGTTATTACTAATATAAGTAATATTATCTAATAATTGAATTCAAACTTTCGTTTATCCTTTTGGGCCGCTCCACCTCAGTGGGATATGGCTGGTGCGTTGAAAGAAAGAAATTGAGTTCAATTAAAACATTACCATTTACTAATCAAATATCCACATTAAAACTTAGTTTGCATTATCCTTTGTTACCTTGGATGATTTAGTCAATGCTGTAAAGAAATTAGGCATTTTAAAGTAAAATTGGTTTCTGTCACAGATGGGAAGTCGTCCAGGTTTTCTCGGGATCAGTCATCACAGGCCCGGCGACCCTCATCAAGCAAGCAGTCACGCCTTCGGGAGATGACACCGGTGCGACAATCAGGTCGTAGCCAAGAGCGGGTCTCTCCAAGGGAATCTGTACTAAGAGAGGACAGCCGTCGACGCTCTCCAGACAAGAGGTCGTGTCCACCGCGTAGCAACTCCACTAGACCGGGAGATGCTAGGGAAAGCAGTGTTGACCATCACGTAGGGAGGAAGGGGCGGAACAGAGAGAGAGGCAGGGAGCATCTGGTTAATAGTCGCATTGAGAGTAAAGACCGTTGTAGAGTCAGCAGGCATAGTTCAGAAAATAAGAAAGATAAAGGAAGGGGAAGGGTTGCAAGAGGCAAAAAAGATCACAGCACAGACAGGAAGGCACAGAGAGAAAGGCTGAGGGATAACAGAGACCGTAGTGCTGGTCACTGCGAGTGGAATGATGAATGTGGTTATGACCGAGAACGACATGCTCTTAGACAGGCTGCAGAACGAAGGAATGGCATTAAAGAAAAATATTCACGTGATAGGCGGTCCAATAGTCTGGAGAGCCGTAGAGAATATGTAAATCAGCGGTCTAAAAGCAGAGATCAACATTCTAGTAGTAATGAACGACGTTTAAGCAGCAGCGATAGACATTCGGAATTTCGTCGAGAAATTAGCAGGCGCAAGTTTTACAGCAGAGAGCGGCAGTCAAAAGTTAAAAAAATGGGGGGCAAGAACAGACGTGGTGGGAGTCCCGAGCGACTGGTAGACAGCAGGGACAGTCTTGGTGAGAGTCCTGAAGAATCCTGGACTAGTGCTGAAGGAACCAGCTCTACAGGCTCCAACAATATCCTGGATGACACAGAGGATCATTCCTTAGTGAGAAATCAGAGAAGATATTCCTCAAGCCCTAGACGGCGTTCACCAGAGAGACGGTATTCTTCAGCAGTTCGGAACTCAGATAATCGCCGATCATCAGAACGCCACCACAACTCAGATTATCACCACAGCCCAGAAAGGCGGCGATCTCCTCGCAGCCCTCAGAGGCGCTCGAGGATTTTCACTCCTGAAACTCGACGAACAGAGTCTGGATCACGGCTCGGGCCCCTAGTGACGTCAGAACAGCTGATGAGTCAGAAAAAGCGGTTGCGTCCTGTGCGGCCAACTGCTCTCTCCGACCTGATGCATATGCCTGAAAACTCTCTCAATGATATCTCCATCATCCTTAAGACAGCCATTACTAAACGTCGTGATGCCTTTGATGAAGGACTCAGTGGTCGTGACACTTTTCGCTCGGATGAAATGGACTGGTCAGATTGGCACTGAGGAACGGGGAGAATAAATGCTCAATCTAAAAAAAATTTTTTATATAATACACATATTTTGAATGTCCTAGGTAGTAGGTTGGTAGACAGTAACTGCCCAGGGAGGTACTACCATCCTGCCAAGTGAGTGTAAAACAAAAGCCTGTAATTGTTTTACATGATGGTAGGATTGCTGGTGTCTTTTTTCTGTCTCAGAAACATGCAAGATTTCAGGTACATCGTGTTACTTCTACTTACACTTCACATGCATGTACAAACATATATATACACACCCCTCTGGTTTTCTTCTATTTTCTTACTAGTAATTGTGTTGCACAATTGTCCTCAAAGATTTAAGTCTTTTTTTTTTCAACAAGTCGGTCGTCTCCCACCGAGGCAGGGTGACCCAAAAAAGAAAGAAAATCCCCAAAAAGAAAATACTTTCATCATCATTCAACACTTTCACCACACTCACACATTATCACTGCTTTTGCAGAGGTGCTCAGAATACAACAGTTTAGAAGCATATACGTATAGAGATACACAACATATCCCTCCAAACTGCCAATATCCCAAACCCATCCTTTAAAGTGCAGGCATTGTACTTCCCATTTCCAGGACTCAAGTCCGACTATATGAAAATAACCGGTTTCCCTGAATCCCTTCACTAAATATTACCCTGCTCACACTCCAACAGATCGTCAGGTCCCAAGTATCATTTGTCTCCATTCACTCCTATCTAACACGCTCATGCACGCTTGCTGGAAGTCCAAGCCCCTCGCCGACAAAACCTCCTTTACCCCCTCTTTCCAACCCTTTCGAGGACGACCCCTACCCCTCTTTCCTTCCCCTATAGATTTATATGCTTTCCATGTCATTCTACTTTGATCCATTCTCTCTAAATGACCAAACCACCTCAACAACCCCTCTTCTGCCCTCTGACTAATGCTTTTATTAACTCCACACCTTCTCCTAATTTCCACACTCCGAATTTTCTGCATAATATTTACACCACACATTGCCCTTAGACAGGACATCTCCACTGCCTCCAACCGTCTCCTCGCTGCTGCATTTACCACCCAAGCTTCACATCCATAGTTGGTACTACTATACTTTCATACATTCCCTTCTTTGTCTCCATAGATAACGTTTTTTGACTCCACATATACCTCAACGCACCACTCACCTTTTTTCCCTCATCAATTCTATGATTAACCTCATCCTTCATAAATCCATCTGCCGACACGTCAACTCCCAAGTATCTGAAAACATTCACTTCTTCCATACTACTCCTCCCCAATTTGATATCCAATTTTTTTTTATCTAAATCATTTGATACCCTCATCACCTTACTCTTTTCTATGTTCACTTTCAACTTTCTACCTTTACACACATTCTCAAACTCATCCACTAACCTTTGCAATTTTTCTTTACAATCTCCCATAAGCACAGTATCATCAGCAAAAAGTAACTGTGTCAATTCCCATTTTGAATTTGATTCCCCATAATTTAATCCCACCCCTCTCCCGAACACCCTAGCATTTACTTCTTTTACAACCCCATCTATAAATATATTAAACAACCATGGTGACATTACACATCCCTGTCTAAGACCTACTTTTACCGGGAAGTAGTCTCCCTCTCTTCTACACACCCTAACCTGAGCCTCACTATCCTCATAAAAACTCTTTACAGCATTTAGTAACTTACCACCTATTCCATATACTTGCAACATCTGCCACATTGCTCCTCTATCCACTCTATCATATGCCTTTTCTAAATCCATAAATGCAATAAAAACTTCCCTACCTTTATCTAAGTACTGTTCACATATATGCTTCAATGTAAACACTTGATCTACACATCCCCTACCCACTCTGAAGCCTCCTTGCTCGTCCGCAATTCTACATTCTGTTTTACCTCTAATTCTTTCAATTATAACCCTACCGTATACTTTTCCTGGTATACTCAGTAAACTTATTCCTCTATAATTTTTACAATCTCTTTTGTCCCCTTTCCCTTTATATAAAGGGACTATACATGCTCTCCGCCAATCCCTAGGTACCTTCCCCTCTTTCATACATTTATTAAACAAAAGTACCAACCACTCCAACACTATATCCCCCCCTGCTTTTAACATTTCTGTCATGATCCCATCAGTTCCAGCTGCTTTACCCCCTTTCATTCTATGTAATGCCTCAAGTACCTCCACCACACTTACATTCTGCTCTTCTTCACTCCTAAAAGATGGTATACCTCCCTGGCCAGTGCATGAAATTACCGCCTCCCTTTCTTCCTTAACATTTAAAAGTTCCTCAAAATATTCTCGCCTTCTACCTAATACCTCCCTCTCCCCATCTACTAACTCCCCTACTCTGTTTTTAACTGACAAATCCATACTTTCCCTAGGCTTTCTTAACTTGTTTAACTCACTCCAAAATTTTTTCTTTTCATTAAAATTTCTTGACAGTGCCTCTCCCACTCTTTCATCTGCTCTCCTTTTGCACTCTCTCACCACTCTCTTCACCTTTCTTTTACTCTCCATATACTCTGCTCTTCTTATAACACTTCTGCTTTGTAAAAACCTCTCGTAAGCTACCTTTTTCTCTTTTATCACACCCTTTACTTCATCAATCCACCAATCACTCCTCTTTCCTCCTGCCCCCACCCTCCTATAACCACAAACTTCTGCCCCACATTCTAATACTGCATTTTTAAAACTATTCCAACCCTCTTCAACCCCCCCCACTACTCATCTTTGCACTAGCCCACCTTTCTGCCAATAGTCGCTTATATCTCGCCCGAACTTCCTCCTCCCTTAGTTTATACACTTTCACCTCCCTCTTACTTGTTGTTGCCACCTTCCTCTTTTCCCATCTACCTCTTACTCTAACTGTAGCTACAACTAAATAATGATCCGATATATCAGTTGCCCCTCTATAAACATGTACATCCTGGAGCCTACCCATCAACCTTTTATCCACCAATACATAATCTAACAAACTACTTTCATTACGTGCTACATCATACCTTGTATATTTATTTATATTGATTTAAGTCATACCATGAATTAAGGAAAGATTCTAGACTATCTTACAAAAGCAGACAAAGCCCATATTAAGTTCAGTGATAGTAACTACGGATAAGATAGATTATAGTGGAAAAATGAAAGTGTTATTAGGAGACAAGGAAATTCACACACCCCTTAACTGTAGTGGTCATAAAGTATCTTATTTGAAGGATGCTTTGCAGTGTGACATTGTTTACTTAGTAACCTGGTGCTCTAAGCCACTAAAGTTGAAGCTCAGTATTTGAACAAAATTATTTTTTTTTTTTAACGAGTCTGCCGTCTCCCACCGAGGCAGGGTGACCCAAAAAGAAAATACTTTCATCATTCAACACTTTCACACATAATCACTGTTTTTGCAGAGGTGCTCAGAACACAACAGTTTAGAAACATATACGTATAAAGATACACAACATATCCCTCCAAACTGCTAATATCCCGAAACCCTTCCTTTAGAGTGCAGGCATTGTACTTCCCATTTCTAGGACTCGAGTCCAGCTATATAAAAATAACTGGTTTCCCTGAATCCCTTCACTAAATATTACCCTGCTCACACTCCAACAGATCGTCAGGTCCCAAATACCATTCGTCTCCATTCACTCCTATCGAACACGCTCATGCACGCCTGCTGGAAGCCCAATCCCCTCGCCCATAAAACCTCCCTTACCCCTTCCTTCCAACCTTTTCGAGGACGACCCCCTACCCCACCTTCCTTCCCCTACAGATTTATATGCTCTCCATGTCATTCTACTTTGATCCATTCTCTCTAAATGACCAAACCACCTCAACAACCCCTCTTTAGCCCTCTGACTAATACTTTTATTAACTCCACACATTGCCCTTAGACAGGACATCTCCAACCGCCTCCTCGCTGCTGCATTCACACCCATATATGACTACATATAATAATGGCTTTAATAATGACTGGAAGTGATCATGATACATTGGTGCCATGGCCCACTAATCTAGTCAAGACACACTGTGTTGGCTAGTGTTCTATGTGTAGCTAATGATGAGAGTACATAATAATGACTTCTCCTTTCCTCAACTCTTAGTCAATATTTATGTGTAGGTTGTATAAGCAAACTCTGGTAACCCATATCAAATTCATTGGTGACAATAGGGAAAGATCTGACGAGAGTTTTTTTATGTACGAATTTCAATTTTACATAAGAATAATGAGAAATACCTCTGATTTGTTTCCAAATCATATTTCACCCATCTCAGACCAGTGTCACGTGCAACTTGACAATGGTCCAGGATGAACTGAAATGTCTTCTGAAGATTTAGCTCCAATTTGTAGGTTAGGTAGATAATGATGTAAGCCAAGTGCTAATTCAAAAGTCACTTGAAGCTGTAAAACCATTAATTAATGCTGTTTCATTCACAGTGGTGTTTTATCAAGTAAAGTATTTTCTCCCCTTGCATCTTTAATGCATTCTTGAAAATCTGAATATTTTTCTATAGACATCCATGTTATAATCTGAGATATGCTCCCCAACCATAATATCAATTTCACTGATATTTTTAACAATGACCCATACTCAGATTAGTCTTCTATTCCCTTCCACTTTTGTATCACATCGCATTTGTTATCGCTACACAGGCAGCATCAGTGAGATTACCTTCCTCTATCTCACCACATTATATCTAACACTATATATACTCTTTATCCTAACATTCTTAGGGTGAGTGTTTTAGATACCTGGGCACTGTGTGTAGAAAAGTAGCTAAGTTATTCCATTTGCCCAGTTGTGTAGCAGGCAGGGAGGGTGGTGGTGAAATCTGTATTGAGTGGCATACCCCAACTGGACACAAAATGAACAGTCAGCCATACACACTATCAGTGCATTTAGTAAAAAGCTACCAGAGAAAAATAATTATAATAAAAAAAGAAGTGTTAAACCTATAGGGGTCATACAGTAGAAAGAAAAATGATAAATGTAATTCATTTATCATTCATACATGAACTTATCTTGCAGAAAATAAACATGTAAACTATCAGTGCATTTGGTAAAACATTATTTTTTTAAATTCAGCTGAACAAAATCTTAATTATATTATCTATATTTTTTGACCAATGTCTGTGAAACAAACTCTTCACACATACACAAACTACTAATGCAACTGATGGAAAAATAGTTGAGAAAAACAATTAACTAAAAATAATGTTTGAATATTTACAGTGAGTGTATATACAGATTAACATTTGTAATTAATTAATTAGTTCCTAAATGCCCCAGTTGTAAGTGTGTATGATAAGTTAGGTCATACTATACTTGATAAAGCTCCCAGAGAATAAACATGGTAAAATAAAGGTTCTTCCTACTTAGTCTTTGTAAATTAGTTGTAGAATGTTCCAGCAATGTTATTAGGATTTATTCTTCAGGAATAACAACCCTGAATTCATTTATTAATTTTTTTTTTTTTTAACAAGTCGGCCGTCTCCCACCGAGGCAGGGTGACCCAAAAAGAAAGAAAATATTTTCACCTCACTCACACAATCATTGTTTTGCAGAGGTGCTCAGAACACAACAGTTTAGAAGCATATATGTACGTATAAAGATACACAACATATCCCTCCAAACTGCTAATATCCCGAAACCCCTTCTTTAGAGTGCAGGCATTGTACTTCCCATTTCCAGGACTTAAGTCCGACTATATAAAAATATCCTACGGGTTTAGCGCTTCCCCTTGATTATAATAATAATATATAAAAATAACCAGTTTCCCTGAATCCCTTCACTAAATATTACCCTGCTCACACTCCAACAGATTGTCAGGTCCCAAATACCATTCGTCTCCATTCACTCCTATCGAACACGCTCATGCACACCTGCTGGAAGTATTATAATACTGTATTATAATGCTTCAAAAGCTAATTCATCATTACTAAAATAAGCTTTTCTGACCATTGCCTTCCACATTTAACGTTCAATTTGATTATATTATTACTTCCTGAGCATAAATATTTTTTTACTGTATATCACTAAACTACCCAAATACTGAAAGCCAACAGAAGCATGTACCATAGTTTCACAAATGTTTCTGTGACTACTGAAGACCTAGTAATCATGTTTAGGAGTGATGGATATGACATTCATTAGACCACTAGTGCAGAAGGATGATATGGCTATAATTACTTCTTTATATCCAAGTGAATGATAACATAGATCTCTAGTTACAGATGTGTGATTTAAGTGGATGACATAGGTAAGTGGTGTGACTGTGTTAATGGTTCCAAGGATCAGTCCTATGCTTCCTGATCATGTACCAGGCCTCCTAAATTGGAAAGGAAATATTACATAACTTAAAAGTATTAAACACACAGAGGAAAGCGAAGATAAATGTACATGTATACTGAATGCAAGTAGCATCTTACATGCTCATGAGATAGAAAAGATCAGCAACTCTGCTAGAGTATAAAACTTTTAACAGTCGCAAAGACGATGTAGGACTCGACTGGATGTAGACTTATAACTTGAGTGAATGACATAAATCACTTGTGGGTGATGTGGATCTAGATGTATGACAAGCGACTGGATACAAAGAATTCAAGAATCCCTCGCTCCTATAGCTACAAATTAGCATAATTTTAGGTACTTGACACGCACTTGCAGATGGGAAATATACAGTGTGTGACTCCTAAACAATGGAAAGTAGTTTGTCTATTAATGCTGGTCCTGCTTTGATCTTCAAAGTGTGGCTTCAGCATTATACTCCCCTTAGTGAAGGTGCAACCAGTGAGGGGGCTCTTGATCCAAGGGAGTATACCTATCATTCCCTTGGATCAAACCTGACTGCATCCCATTATCCCTGTAAGTCAAGTGTTTTGTCTTTAACTATAAAAATTTAGCATTATAGCATATTTATATCATATTTTTAAAAGTTTGAAATAAATTTTGTAATCTCATCCTTACAGAACTAAATTACATAATGATTTATCGTTAGCCATTAATAAAAAAATTGTAACGTACAGTATTCTTAGTAATACCTATTCTGATTTAAAAATGATACTTGTCAACAGTGTATCCAACATATTTCAAGTAAAGCAAAATAGTAATAATAACAGGTTTATCTTACTTCCCCTGGAATCATCATTCAAATTTGTCATTATTAGATGTCCCAGTTCTATTTTGAATTGTGTAATTATGATGTATACTAGTCCAGTATACATTAATCAGAGATTATCTTGCAAAACCTGCATTCACTTCTTGATTTTTGTAAATATAATTTATTAACATAAGCACTAACATGTAAACCCAGCGGGGGTTGTCAACTAATGTGTCAATAGTTACTTTAATTATTAAACAAGATATCACTTTTTCCTTCATAATTTCAAACTGATATTCCTAATCATGTGTGGTTGTATTTTATGCCATACTAATATTACAAATGTGTGTAACAGCAGCATTGCACAGCCTGAGTGTGTTAACACAACTCTTCAGTTAAGTTTCATATTGTTATAATCATGGGGAAGTGTTAAACCTGTTTTACTCATACAGCACCTGGTGGAATAGGAGACAATCAGGTTTAATCTGATTCTTTGGATCAAGAGCCCCTTGCTGATATCAAAGAAATTTTTAAAATTAATTCATGTGGTTTATTATACTGCCACAAAACTTTGTGTGTTAATTTTATACTCATTAAATATATATTAAATTTGTTTCCTTGTTTACATACCCCTATTACAATACCATTACAATATACTCTTCATTTACCATGTGATTGGTGCTGTTCACAAAGTCTACTGATGGTATGACCGAACTCGCAATAGCTACTATGGGCCTGGAATACATCTACTGAATATAATAAGGAACACCCTGTAAAAAATAGCAATAATGTGTATAAATACCTAAGTCGTTTGGCTTCCCAGTGCTACGAAGGGGTTCGATCCTGTTAGGACGAAGTGGTACTTAAGAGTCCGTGTTTATCTGCTTCCCTATGATCAGTAGCACCACCAAGCAAAGAAAATGTTCAGACTACCACTGGACGAGATCTCTAAAACATAAAAATTAGATATAACAAAATAATTGCTATTACTTTTGAGGTTTAAGTACAGTGCTTAAACTACTTCTTGACAGCCATCAAAAATCTAAATTCGCCAAAATATGAATAATTATGAATAACATTTAGTCTCTAAATTACTAAGAAATACCATATTTTGTGGCTTATTAGACGCGTTTTTTCCATAAAGTGTCTCCAAAAACCACCCCGTGTCCTATAAACTGAAGGTTAGTAACGGGGGCTATAAGTTTGGGGTGTGGGTGGGCTGTAGCTCTCCTAGTTACATCTGATGCCAAGCCACTGAAACTAAAACAAGTCTTATAAGCTGTGAAATATGGTAGTTAAAATTTATACCTTTTCATTTGTATTTATAATACATTTAATTAAATCCATAATAGTCAAGTTAAAAACAAAAATACAGAGCTGGCCATTTCCCACCAGAACAGGGAACTCCAAAGGACACACTCACCATCACTCATTCAGTAGCTGCCTTGCCATAGGTACACGGTCATCATGAAACAAGTGACCCTCTGAACATAATGTCCTCACTCAAGGCATTGTATTTCCCACCTCCATAACTAAAGTCTTGCTAACTGGCTTCCCAGGATTCTTTCATGAATTTTAATATTTATCCTTGAAAAAATCATATACGAGTCTGTAACACGGAAACTAGAAATATTAAGCACTTAGAAATGTAATTATGGCAGAAAAAATAAAAAGTTTGAATAGTGTATTTGATTAACACAGTAAACACACCATATTTTTTAATATAAACTTTAGCATTAATAACTAATTATTCGATGCTAAATAAAAAAATTTCGTTTGAAATTCTCTCCTTGAGCCCAAGGGAAAGATCTTCCCTAACCCAGACCAGAAATTGGGTAAAACAAAAGTAACTAGGTAACTTAGTCATTTTTGCTTAGCAGCTTGCTTACACCTCTCCAAATTTTAGGTTAAATGCATATTGTTCCAATCACACCATTGTCACTTATTCTTCAGACACTGATGTTTAATGCCCTTTGATTAATTATCCTTGAAAGTTGATGCAACTTACTGTCAGTGGAGTTACTTCAGGTGCTACAATAAACACTGAAGGTATGAAATCTGTCCTAAATTAAATTACGGCATACAATCTGGAGTACATTAACCACTAAATTAAATTACACAGACACTTATGAGAACTGAAACTAAAAATCTTATATTGAGATTATTGTAATACTAATGTCAAATATGGTACTTACGGGTATGTGAATTTGTAGGGTAGATATATTGTAGGTTGAAGAACTCTTCTGATGGGTCACCCAGATCAGCAGAACAGAACTTGACAGCATAGTGATGGAATTGTCTGATTAGCCTCATGCTGGTACCCACTCAAGATGTGATGGGAATCTTGTCATAATGTCCAGATGACCAGAAGCTGTAATATAGAATTCTGATGGGCCACACAGTACGTCAAGATGATTTGTTGGCATCTGGTAAATTTTTCAACTCAAAACAATGAAATGGACTTACACACAAATGAGTAAGTGTGTAATATGCAAAAAGTGACAATGTGTGTATTTGAATGGAACACCTAGGTTGTGGAAATACCTTCTTGTCACTGCTGGATGTGCAATTACCACTTCAGTGCTGGATACCTTCTTTGACAATTAACCTGGGAGACAGTTATACAAAACGTTTTTAATATACTCGTTCTCAGTAGTCATGAAACGTAGCAATAAGGTTGTCAAGTTCATAAACAAAGTTGCGGAGAGTAACTGTAGAACACACTGCCCCCATCTGTAATACATGAGTTATAATTATTACTATTACACCCAAGGGAATGAAAGGGGTAGAGCACTAAACCTGCAAGGGGTAATACAGCTCCTAAGGGAAATAATATATGACCAGGTTTGAGTCAAGGAAAGGGGACTTCCTTACTGGCATCAAGTCACCTCCCTTAGGAAAAAGTTTACTGTATTAAGTTCTTAACACTCCAGAAGTATTGTACATACTTCTTTGCAGAGTAACCTTGTATTAATTTCCAATAAATACAATAAAAGGATAAGTAGACTATCAATTAGAATAGAGGTTACAGTCCTGAAAAGCTGTGTTTAATCTAATTTAAAGCTAAATACGTAATCAGAAAAAAATTGAGAAAATAGGGTTATTCCACAAATGTCCTCAATAGCCCCCCCCCCAAAAAAAAAAAAAAAAAATTGTAAGATATTAAGAATTATAAATTTTCCTTACCTCACATCACGGTTGCTGTTACTTGTTGACTTGGACATTTCTGGAGGGTTGACGTAGACCTACTTTGTGGCTGTAGAGTTGTCAGTAGATGACGATTGTACTGGAATGGCCAAATATTCTGTAATGCACTTCGGCTCTATATTTCTAGCACTACTTTATACAGATCATGATAAGGCCTCATCTGCTCCGAATCCTGCTGCATAGCAATACCTCTAGAAGTATTGCTACGCAGTATTGTGTAGTTCTTTTCAGTGAAAAAGGCTTGCCAAACACACTTTATGAAGGCTCTCCTTCTTTCTCACAATTTTATAGTATGCTAGGGTTTTTTGCTTTATTATTTAAGCATGAAGTGGGGCCCCTTTCTGCATTTTCTCCTCAATAACACATTCTGTAATTGTGTGTCTTACTTAACTATAATGATGTCATTGTCATTCTTTTCAGCACATGACAATCTATACTAGTCATTCCGCAATCTCTTTTATTTCCTTCTCATTCCTTCTGAGTGTTATGTATGAAATTGATTCCCTCAGATACGTGAACCTCTTGTGAGCATATCTAAAACTTCCAACTTGGATACCATCAATGCTTCACACTGGAAATTTTGGCACCATTAGTAGTCCTCTTGGGTACCATGGTGAATATCCAGACAATGTTGTGATAAAAAAATGCTAACAGACAAATACAAGTCACTACTACATGCGACACTTTCAAAAGGCAAACTACTGTACTGCACTAAGCCACAGGCTGTGGGGTGGATGGGAAGAAATGCACAGCATGCATTACCATGACTTCGCACTTCAATTGATCCTTTTCTGCTTTATTACATTCAATACCAGTCCTTTACCTGTGCAACATTTTTTCCAATATAATTTCTTTAACCATGCATGTCGTAAGAGGTAGACTAAAATGCCGGGAGCAAGGGGCTAGTAACCCCTTCTCCTGTATGCATTACTGAAGTTAAAAAGAGAAACTTTTGTTTTTCTTTTTGGGTCACCCTGCCTCGCTGGGATATGGCTGGTTTGTTGAAAGAAGAAGAATTTCTTAAGCATGCTAAGACATTCCCGTGCAGTCTAATTGCATTCTAACCAATGATTTACTTTACCTTAACTGCTTGTAGGAAGATGATGAAACTTGATTATTTAAGGCACTTCCTGAATAAAGATCATTTTTCAGTGAATATAACAAGATCTTAGTGTGTGCTTACTCAATTACTGCAATTAACTAATCTCTTTGACTGCCACCTATCATGTGGATTTGTTAAGCTGTTAAGGACACCTTGTTGTAGACATTAACACACATTCTTTCCCCACCACAATATCATTGCTGCTCTAAGAGAAAGTATCTGTATCAAGTGCCTTTTTCAAATTAACATTTTTTTTTTTCAAACATAAAAGTTCAAAACTTTCTGGTGAATTTTTGTAATTTTATTAAATTCCTTTGATTCTTTGGGCAAAAACTTACCCATTTTTTTCCCCCAAGAGTAATTTATTCTTAACGTGAAACTTGCCAATTTTCTAACAAATTAATACATTTTAAATGAATTTTGTTTTCAATTAGACAGTTTTCCCCTACTTTAACTGAACATAATAATGTACATACTTACCAACAACCTCAACAGGACAGGAAAAAGCATAATATATTGGTGAAAATATGCATGTATTTATACTTACAAACAATATAAGTATATACAATGGGTCGTGTACTACTGAACTAAAGTGAAAAGGAGAGACGAAGGCTGCAAGGAGGAGGGGCATACATTTGCCTGATGTTGCAAAAAATGTTGTTGCAAGTGGTGAAGGTTGTACTTTGGGGGAATCACTGAGATCTGTTACAATGCCACACATCTTTAATTCAGCAAAATCTTATTAAAAAAAAAAAAAAAAAAAAAGGTTTCAGTTGCAATAAATAATGCTTTTATTATTAAAGACAAATTGAGTTCATAATGGAATAAGTCATGAGATAACTTTTAGAAATAAAAAATATTAATTCTAGAGGTAAAATTGAAATGGAAAACAATGAGGCGAAAAAAAACAGGTTAGGTGTAAGTCAAAATAAATACCAAGGGCCGAGAAGCACATCATAAAGGGCACTACTTGGCCATCCCGGCCCCCACAACTTGCGTAAAACATGTGGCCTGACCAGTGTCATACATAATTCGTACTAAATGATACACAGGAGCAAGGAAAAAATAATAGTTTGGATATCTGACTAGGCTAAATACAGAACAAAGACAGGAACACAATATACATGGGATAAATATTGAATAATTTACCCATAAAATTAACATACTGGATGAATAAGAAATTCCAACTACTAAAATATTTACATAGGATTCAAATGAATATAAATTATAAAGTCACTTCCCTTACAAATTCATTCAAATAACTATTCTTTCAGAAATATTTCAGACATTTATGGTTTGGTATTAAAATAAATCATTTGATCAAAATTCAATAACTTTCATTGCATGAGAATGACATATATTTCAAGAACTGCCATAGCATATAGGTTGTACTTTATCAACAACTCTCAACTATAAAAATCAACTACAAAAATCACACATCAACATCCATTTGAGATATACAAAACTTTCACACTGCAGGAACACATTCCAATAAAACAGCTTTATGTAAAATATAACTTGTGCACTAGCGTGTCCAATGTACATACAAAAGACGCATGTGTGTGTGTGTGTGTGTATGAGAGACAGAGACAAACAGAAGAGGGCTAGGAGGGTGGAGATAGAGGAAAAAAAAAGAAGAGGTGAGAGGAAAAGGAGAAAAGAGAGGAGAGGAGTAGAGAGAGAAAATAAAGAAGAGCAGAGCTATGCTTGTGGTGTCCTGCCTTCAGTATTTACTGTTATACATGTATATAGTGAATTTTCAGTTTCCAGTGGATGTAGTATACATTCTTGGATACCATTCCAGAAAAGTGTGTAAGAATGAGTTGGTTTACCTGTGACCAGTTTGTGTGTACATGAGAATGTTACAGATTTATTAAGTTTGCATATGGACAGTTCACCACACTGAGATACAGGGAGGAAGATACCCAACAGCTTCCCTGCTTTTCTCAGTACAGTACTACTTTAAGTCGCACCACACTATCTCAGCCTCTAAATATTAAATGTAACCACTTGTGCAGATACTCAAGTAGTTAGCTATACACTATACATTATTAACCCACCAAGTGGGAGTAGCAGGAGCCACTTGGAGGAGGGTGGGAGTGTTTGCAAAAAAGGCCTCAAATCACTGCAGGGTACAGCATCAGACATTATTCGCGAATATCACACTACTGCATTGTTCTGTGTATAATTGTTCATTCAGGAAAAAATGAGGATCATTCTGGAATGAACATCCACAAATTTTCATAGTTTAAATGCTATCAAACTGCCCAATTGATCCTCTTAATAATGTTCCTCCAAAATATATGGATTTCTTAGTTTTTCAAAATATATTTCCACACATAAGTCACTTAAATATGGAGTAATAAGAGGTTGAGCCAAAACCGCCCCTATCTCTGAAGTTCAAGCATGGGCAGGGTCACGTGTAAAAAATAATTGTTAAAAATTAACTTGAGCAGCCATCAACTGTTTTCCTTGTAGCAGCTGTAACTTGAGACAAAATTCACATTAATAAATTATTACAGTACTGTATTAGTTTTGTAAAGCGCATCGTTCACTTGTGCAACACCAATGATTTACTGCCAGTACAGTGCTTTGTCACATGACTGTAATACACATCTGGAACCATGGTGAGCAGACGTATTTAGATGGTAAGCAGGGGAAAGGGAGGGGCATAGGGATGTCTACAGTGGAAGATTGACGGGCTTTTGTAGGTGTATGTGGTGGGTGTCTAGGAACCT